AGTTGTGAGATCAAGCCCTGCATTGGGCTCCGTGCTGGGCATGGAACCTGCTTAAAATTCTCTCTCTCTCCCTTTCCCCTCCCCTTCCTTCCCTTCTAAATAAAAGAAATAAAATAGTATTAGTAGTATATAGTGACCTTGTTTATGCCTGTTTTAAAAGAAAAATATCTACTGCTTCTCCACTAGTTAAAAGTACTATCTTGTTAAGGATGAGTGATTTTAGTTATTTTATTAAGAATGGGTATTAATATTTATAAAATATTTTTACCTATTATAATTATCATGTTTATTTTTTATTAATCTACCTTCATGGCATATTAAGGTATTTATTTTTTAACCACCTCTGAATTACCCTTATGTTTGTGTTATGCTTTCCTTTTAATAATGTCATATAGTGTTGTGGTTAAGAGTGTTGACCCTGGAACCCTCCAGCCTGAGTTAAAGTTCTGCTTCGGCTAGTTACAAGTTGTGTGATCTTTAGGCAAATTACTTACTATGTCTCCATTTTTATTTATTTATTTTTTTATCTTTAAAGATTTTATTTAGAGAGAGAACACGTGCACAAGTAGGGGGAGGGGCAGAGAGAGAGGGTGAGGGAGAGAGAAAATCTTAAGCAGACTCCATGCCCAGTGTGGAGCCTGACATGGGGCTCTATCTCAGGACCCTGAGATCATGACCCAAGCTTAAATCAAGAATCTTATGCTTAATCAACTGAGCCTAGGTGCTCCACTGTGTCTCCATTGTTAATAATAGTACCTACCTATGCTGGTTATTTACCTGTTGCTTCTTAGCCCAAACCCACCTATTTGTTCTATGATGCACCAGGATTTTTGTGAGGAGCATGTGAGTTAACATATGTAAAGCGTTGGAATCGTACCTGGAACTTAATATTAAGTAAATACCTAATAATGTTAGCTATTGTTGGGGCACCTGGCTGGCTCAGCTGGTAGAGCATGTGACTCTTGATCTCAGGATTGTAAGTTCAAGCCCCATGATGGGTATAGGGTTTATTTAAAAATATAAAAAATAATGTTAGCTGTTATTATTATAATAATTTTAATTAATCTCATAGAATTCTATATGCTAATATTTGACTTGTGACTTTTGCATCCTCCATATTCTTGAGGTCTCTTTTTATAATATCATCATCTGATAAGAGATGAAGATCTTTATCTGCAACTGTGAACAAATTAGGAAAATTCCTCTTCCTCGCATGTCCTATAACCATTCATATAACTGGAACAGAATTATTTCTTTCAGGAATGGTTGGAAGTTTTTTTTTTAAAAGATTTTATTTTTAAGTAATCTCTATACCCAACATGGCGCTTGAACCCACAACCCTGAGATCAAGAGTCGCATGCTCCACTGACTGAGCCAGCCAGGCGCCCCATGAATGGTTGGAAGTATTCAACAGTGAACATTTTGGGCCAGATGTTCTTTGGTCGTTTTTGATAACTTTCTCAGTGTCTTCTATAATTGTTGCTCAATTTTTGTTTTTGAACCTTGTTTTTCATTTTTTGAAGAAAATGTATGTAACTTTAAATTTTACTTAGGGTTTCAAATTCATTAGTCTGTAGGTATGTAAAAAATTACCTTTTATTTATTCCTTGTAATAAGTTTTAAGATTTGGGAGTGGTAGATATGTTCAATACCCTGATTGTGGTAATGGTTTCACAGGTTGACACATAAGTTAGAACTGATTAAATTGTACACTTTATATAGGTGCAATTTATTATATGTCATTTATAACCCAATTTAAAAAGAGTAATATTGGGAGGTCTTCTCGGGGGGGCTCAGTCTGTTAGGTGTTGGACTCTTGATTTCCACTTGGGTCACAATCTCAGGGTCGTGAGATAGAGCCCTGCCTCTGGCTCCGAGTTCTGTGTGGAATCTGCTTTAGATTCTCTCTCTCTATGCCCCTCCCACTGCTTACGTATGCACACTCTCTCAACTAAATCTTTAAAAATAATAATAATTTTTTAAAAGTCTACCAGTTTCATGTCTTTTTAAAGTACCAGTTGACATTTATTAATTCTAATGTTCATGATTTCTGATTTTTAAAATTATCTCCTGAAATATATGAGATATATTTTATTATAGATAAAAAGCATGAGCTTTTGGTGATTCATTTCCTGATAGTAGGGTATATGATTTGTTTTATGTCTATTACAGTACCTTGATCTCATCGTTTTCAGACTGTTTTAAATATAAAAAGAGGAAAATATAGATGGACTTTGATCTCATTGTTCCCAGACTGTATTTTAGATATAAAAAAAGAAAACTATAGATGGAGATGCAGTTTTTTTCCCAGGCCATTCTTGTTTTGTGGCCAGGAAACTCTGGCTGTAGAGAAGGTATATAAGTGGAAAGGCCTGGGCTCTGGCCCACACAACAGAGACCTTTGATTGTGAGTTAGCGTGGACTGAGATGCAAGGATTGAACTGCAAATAGCCAAGGACCCAATAGCTTTCTGGGAGAAGTACATCAGGAGTTCCTGGAAGAAGTTTGTGTGCATAAAAATACCAAAATGCTATGAGGATTTCCCTTAAACTCTACCTCTTTGCCTAGCCTAGAATGAAATCCTTGATGGTGGAGATGGTCTGCAGGAACAACAGAAAGGCCAGGGCCAGGCTTGACTCCATTGGCCACTTTGGAGATGAGTCAGAATAGTGACCAATGCCTTTCCACAAAGTTAAGTGTGAGACTTGGTATTTAGAACAGGGGATTCCAACTCTTCTAATGGAATGCTGAGCTTCTAGCTTAGTTATGCTAAGGCAGAGGTCCTGCTATTTTTGAGGATGTTTTGATGCCATCTGTTTGATTCAGATCAACCCATATTTACTGATCATTCTAGGCACAGCTTATGCCAGGCACTAAAGGGGGACAGAGATGCATCTGATTTGGTCTCTTTTCTTCAGGAACTTAGAATGCAGTGCAAGAGGCAGATAGTGATTACAGTAGTGACTAATATTTTGTCTGCATTCTTCTAGGTACTGTTCTAAGGTCTTTGTGTGTATTAACAGCAGACCAATGAGGTAGGTGCTATTTTCTACCTCCTAAAATGGGGGAGGAGGAAATTGAGATACAGAGAAAGTAAGTAATTTACCCTGTGTTACACAGCTAGTAAATGGCAGCACCAGGATTAAAGCCAAAACAGGCTGGCTCTGGAGTCTTTGTTCTTAACCCTATGCTTTAGAGCAGTAGTTCTCAAAGTGTGTTCCCTAGATCAGCAGCATCAGCCTCATCTAGCAACTTATTAGAAATGCACCCTGAAGGAAAAAAAAAATGAACATTCTTGGGTTCTACCCAAGACCTACTGAATCACAAACTCTGGAGGTGGGGCTTGGCAATCTGTTTTAACAAGCTCTCCAGGTGATTCTGATGCTTGCTATTTGAAAACCTCTGCTAGAGAGAAGCAAGGCACACTATGGTAAGTGTCAGAAATTAATATCCCTGTGGGTAGGGACTGGGTATGATCTTTCTCTTAAGTTTCTAGCCCTCTGCACAGCATCTAGTGTAAAGTAGGCATCAAAAAATACATGTGGTTGAATACATATAAACATATGGGAAAGTGATGTTTGAGGTGGGTCTCTTACCACCCCTCAACTGCAGCAAACTGAATGAGAGAAATGTTCCCAGAAACTGTGAGACTAGCAAGGAAGTGGCTGTGTTTACTTTTGGCAAGGTATGCACCAGCACCAAGGATCTGCACTAGCACAAGGAGCCTGCAGAATGGTGGAGGGTCATGTGGGAGCAAGTCAGGAGGTAAACATGTCAGGACTTGGTGAACAGCTGAATGGGGGCAAGAAGCAAGGGAGAGAAATTGTCATTTTTGGAAACTGTCTCCTTTTGCAGTTTCTCTGAGGCATAGAACAAGTACATTTGTGGGGGAAAGATAAAGAGTTTGATTTTGGACTCCAAATTTGAAGTGCTGGAGATCCAGGTGGAGCTGTCCAGCATACACTTGGAAATACGCGTCTAAGACGTGGCTGGGGATAGAGATTTGGAGGGATAGTTGAGCTATAAGAATGGATGAGACCTTGAAGGAAAAAGTAGAGGGTGGAATGAGAAGAGAGGTGGATTTGAAACCACAGTGAACACTGTTATTTAATGGGGCAAAAAAGCAACACGGAACCCTTGAAAGAAGACTGAAAAAGATTTAGGCAATAGGAGAGCTTAGAAAATTCTGAAGCCAAGTAAGGCTCAAAAAGGAAGGAGAGGTCAGAGCCAGATGCTGCGGAGAAATAAGAATCGAAAATTATCCTTTGAATTTTGACACAAAAAGTATTTTAAGTGACGTGGTGAGGACAGAAGCAGACTGACAGAGTTCAGGGATGAGCTCTGGATGAAAAAACGCAGGCAGGTGCATCCCAGGTCCCGCAGATAGAACTCTGTAGCCGCACTTAAGTTGAGCCTGTGACATCTTCCAGGGTAGGCAGGGTCTCTTTCGTCTGTGATCCCAGCGCCCAGCAATCGGCCTGGAAGAGAGGGTGGCGTCAGTGAGTTCAGTGACTAGGGACGGAGAAAGGCTTCGCGGAGGCAGTCGCTTTGCAGCCGAGGCTTGAAGGATGAGGGTGATTGGGAGGAGAGGTGGGAGGCAGGGCCCCTGGGTGATGGGGCGCTCGGAGTGTGTGAGGGGGGTCTGGGAATGAGGTGGGGTTCCTGTAATGTGCGTGTAGCTGTGCAAAGGGGGAAGGCTGTATGTAGGTTTGGAGGGACCTGTTTGGGGAAAAGACACACGGCCAAAGGCTGCTGCGGCGGGTGGGGGCAGACACCCCCCCCACCACCACCCCACCCCACTTACGCCGCTGCGCCGTTCCGCGGCGCCTCTACCGGAGCCCTCCCGCCGGGCTGCATGGCGACGGGTGACCGCCAGGGGCCGCTGCCTCGGGTCCCCGGTGCTCCCGCCCCTCTCCATTGGCCTTTGTTGCCGTCGGAGCGCCCCGCTTGACTCGTTCCCGTCCGCCCCCTGGGCCTGGCGGTCGCGCCTGCGCACTGGCAGCTGGCCGGGCGCTCGCAGGGGGAGCTGCTGCAGGCTCCGCGGCGGCGGCGGCAACGGAGGCTGCGGGGGCAGCGGCGCTAGCGGCCGGGCTTGGGGGGGGTGGCGAGCCCGGCCCGGAAGCCCGAGCAGCTAGAGTGCGGGGTACCTAGGCCCCTCACTCTGGACTCCACAGTCTCCGGGCCGCCTGACCTCTGCACGGGTATATGGGATGGAAGCGGGACCCTCGGGAGCAGGTAAGGGCCCCCGGGAGTGGGGGACGGTGCGTGCTCCAAGGACCGGGGGACTCCCGCGTGAAGAACAGGATTTCCGAGTGAGGAAAGGCTTCCTGAGTGAGGAGAGGAGCTCTTATGGGATGGGGGGCCCAGTTTGAAGGGGGCTGTATGCAGTTCCGGGGGAAACCTTGTGAAGGAAGCCCTAATAAGGGGGCTGTTTATGAAAGGAGGCTGTATGCACTCCTGGGGGTGGGAAGTAATCTGGGAGAAGGGCCTGAACGCACGTAAGGACTCCCGGAGATCCCGGGAGGCCTAGGGACAGGCCCGGCAGGTGGCAGGGGGCGGGCTCCAGGTGTCCAGAGAGGAGGGGGTCGACACAGATGGGCCCAGCGCTGCTGCTTGCCGGGGGGCGGGGGCTAGGCTAGTGTCTCTTGGGAGAAGGCGCCAGAGCTGGGCTGTGAGCTCCGCCCTAGCCGGGCCTGACGCGGGGGCGAGGGTCAGGGGGCGGTGGGTGGGGATCCAGTCCCGGGATTCCCCCCCGTGAGTCTGGGGAGCTGGAGCGGAGGCGCCCGAGCATGCGCGGAGGTGGCAGCTGGAAGTGGCAGCCCGAAGTGGTGGGGGCGTGGCTGCCCGAATCCCCCCACCCCGCCCGATTTGGCTTGGAAGAAGGAGCCAGCTGATGGGGCGCATTCTCTCTTAAGGTTCAGTTGGCAGAGTGCAAATAGAAATGGCCCCCTTCCCCATCTTTGGGGCTCTTACACTTGATCCTGGAAACCCTCAGTCACAATTTGCCAAGAAGGGGTTGAGAGAAACTGCCAAAATGCCGCCTTATGCCCTGGGATGAGTAAAGACTGGGACCAAAGCAATGTCCTCCCCCTGAAGAGAGGAGTTAGAAAAGGTGTTGGTTACTGAGGGAGCAAGGCCAGGACCAGGTTTACCTGGAAGGGGTTGTCTGCCTGGTTTCCTCATTTCTGGTCCAATACTTTGTAGAGATGGGATACTATAATCCAAAAATAATGATTTTTCCATTGAAATGTCTCCTCAGGTGACAGCCTAGTCTCTTTCTATTCTTTAATATTTTTTGTGGGTCTATCCCCCACTAGGTATCTTTTCTTTTTCTTCTGCCTGCTCCCCAGAAACTGTCAGGGCCATGTTATTAGACCCAAGGTTGCCAAGTTAGCCTTTTGTTACAAGTAAGTTGTTTGGGGGAACTTATAGCTTTCACCCTGGTGAGTCCCAGGTGATAGCCTTAACTTCTTATTCACAGGCAATCAGAGAGAGGTTCCCCTGGACCTGGGAATCCTTTAGGTCTTGTCTCACTACCTCCTTCCATTTGCTCTAGGGGTGGAAATAGGATTTCTTTCTTTCTTTCTTTCTTTTTTTTTAAGATTTTATTTATTTATATGACAGGCACAGCAAGAGAGGGAACACAAGCGGGGGGAGTGGGAGAGGGAGAAGCAGGCTTCCTGCTGAGCAGGGAGCCCAATGCGGGGCTCGATCCCAGGACCCTGGGATCATGACCTGAGCTGAAGGCAGACACTTAACGACTGAGCCACCCAGGCGCCGGGGAATAGGATTTCTGTTCGGGACATGAATTTCATTGCCGGTGGAAGAATCATTCTTTTTAGATCTTACCCCAGATCTTACCCCACCCCCCCAAGCTCCTACCAATTTACTCAGCTCATCCATTTAGTGATCTATAAGTACTTAGTGACTACTTTTCCCCCAAACAAAAACGACCTTGTAAAGGCTGTGTAGGTCTTCATTAAGAGCACAGGGAGCAACTGACTTCAGAAAACCATTTCTCCTTCCCTTAGGATTCTTTCTCCATTCTAGGAACTCTCCTGGTTTTCTAGGCTGGAGACTATTTGAGCAACCTGTGTTCTAGATAGAGTAGGAGTAGGTCACAGAGGTCCAGATGGATTGCTAGGAGCCGCACTCATGCTAGACTGCTAATGATTTCATTCTGATGAATTCCTAATGGACTCTGGAGGGATGAATAAACTGACTTTTTTGCTTGTTACAAGAGATAAGCTTCTAGGGAAGGGACTAGAGCCTGGTATCTGGAGTTGGCTGTAGCCTGATGGGACAGGCTTTGCCTCATCAAAAGGTGTAACTGGAATTCAGTCTGGAAGCTGTGAATGGAGGGACCCCATAACTGCCTCCTTCCTAGACCCAAACTATTCTCTTGGAAGTTGGAGGACACAGTACACAAAACTGAAGGTACTGGTGGTGGCTTCACTGGGCTATGTCCTGATGTGCTTTCTGTGCTCAGGTGTGTTCTAAGCACATATACTGGATTGAGAGCTCCAGGAGGGTAGAGGTAATATCTAATTTATCTGTGGAAACAGTGAGTATCTAGGCCCTGACACAAAGTACACATTTAGTAATTGAACTGAATCACATTCCAGTGTAAACATAAATGGTTAAGCACATATATGGATATTTAGTAATTTTTGTATACTCACCTGTGGACAAATTTTTTTTAGGAGAGGTTGGCTTAGTCTCTCCTTACTGGACAGCTAACCCAGCCTTGAGTTTGTGTTTTGAATAGGCTCTGGCTCCCAAGGAGGTATGTGGGCCTCAAAACTGCAGGGAAGGAATCCCTGAGCCAGGCCTTTCAGCTCTGTTACTTTTCCTTCTCAGGGCTGGTTGGGGATGGGGGAGGGGGAGTGTCCTTTTCATGGCCCCTCCCTCCTTGCTTTTGTCTGCAAGGAAGGGCCCCGCCCCTTTCCCCCAAGGCCCAAGCTTTGTCCTCAGTGCTGGGGCCCTCATCTGCATCACAAAGTGGCCGTCTGTCCCTGTCTGGGTTTGAAGGGAAGTGTCTCCCTTTCTCAGACTAAAAGCTGGGGGCAGGGTGGAGTAAGCGGGGGGCGGGGGGGTACTTTGTACAGCTCTAAGGTTTGCAGGGGGATGGGATGTGAGAGAGGTTCTCCCTTTTGCCTTCCCTAGTTTGGGGATGAAGGGGAAGGTGGGGGTTCCCCTGTTTTCCCAAAGCCTCCTTGGAGTGGAGGGTGCCTAAGGCTGAATTTGATGTGTGGTCCTATTTCTGGGGAAGGGAAGCCTTTGAGGTTAGAGTGTTTGTCCCATCCCCCATCATTTCTACCCACCCCCGAGCTCTAGGGGATGTCTTTTTCCCAAGAATTCAAACGATTATTCAGCCTGGAAGGCTAAGGAGGTGAATGGAATGTAAAAACTTGGGGAGGGGAAGGGTATCTCTTATATCCACCAGGATGTTTATCTTGTGCAGGTTTTATAATTGTTTTTGAGCAGTTTGCAGGTGTTTGTGTGCTGTGTATGCATGTGTGTTCTTTGTGATGTATCTGTGGATCTTTTTGTTCATTCATTTAATATCTGTATGTTGAACACCTCCTATGTGCTAGGAGGCAAGATACAGTCTCTGCTCTTGAAGAACTCACAATCTAGGGCGGTGAGGGGTATGTATATAAAGGTAAACTATCTAGGTCTAAGTGTGTGTTTGGGTGTGTATGACAGGAATGTGTCTCACTATGTGTTTGCATCTATCTCTTGCTTGTGTGCAGTTTCTGTCCAGCTCTTTCTGGGGTAGGCACCCAGATGCTAGTGGTTAGGCTTTCACTTCCCCATGTAGCTGAGTCCTTGAAGGCCTTTTCCACCCAGGCTGAGCCTTCATTACTGTCTGCGTTTCCCTGTCTGCAGAGTGGGGCTGGGCTTGACAGGTGGTTAGAAGGAGATGTAGCAGCTTAGCTCTGGGAAGCATGCCCCTCCCGTGAATGGTTCTGACCTCTTCCTGACCCCCCAGCTGAGGATATGCCCCATCCCCCAGCCTGGCGGACTGTGAAAGCAGAGCTACGGTGATGGGAGGTTCTGGGCTGGTTTATCCCTCTCTCCTCCCACCTGGGCTGGTCCTCTACTAGCAAGGACAATAATAGCTGTGGACAAAGGCTTCTCTTAGTGTCCCTTTTTCCTCCCTTTTCCCTCAAGCTAGAAAATAAAACTAGGGGCAGCAATCTAGCTGGTGGCAAGAGAGGAGAAAGTAGTAGAAGCTGGCTCTGCCCTAGCCTTTTCCCAGGGGCCTGCTCTATCTTGAAATTGATCCCTTCTTTTACTGTCTGGGCTTTCTGTGTGGAAGGAACTGTGGCTGTGCAGAGTACCTTATTCTCCTTCTCAGAGCCAGTATCTCATTCTTCTCCAGCATGCTAAAGGCTGCCTCTCCTTCCCAAGTCCTCTACTCTAGCCTATTCATGGCTCATTCTCCTGTCTTCTTCCTGTCTTCATTCCCTAGCTTTTTCTTCTTTTGAACTTTTTCTTGTCTCCCCAATTGCAGCCTTGCTTCTTGCTCAAGCTTCCAACTCTAACCTATATGCTGCCCAGGCCTTAACTCCAGCCTTCCCTCCGTCCTAGATCAAGCCTCTTTCTGCTGTGATTTCCAGTTGTGGCCTCTTTGTCAGCTCCCTGTTTCAGCCTCTCTCCTTTCTTTTGTCTCCAAACTTTATTTTTTAAGCCTTTTCTACTTTTCTGTCTCTCCAACCTCAGCCATTCAGTTGCCTTAGTCCTTTCTAAAACATTGTCTCCCTCACATCCCCCTAGCCTGACCTTTGGATCTTCCTCCTGCCTGCATTGCATAGGAGCATTAAGATGTTACTATTTCATGTTCAGGATGGTGATGAGTGAAGTGAGCATCTGGCTGGCAGAGAAGAGAAGCATACTTGGTCTGCTAGATACCTGGTGGAGGCAGGTGTCTTAATCTAGTACGAGAAAGAAAGTTTTATTATTTTTTTTAAAGGTTTTATTTATTTATTTGACAAAGAGAGACACAGCAAGAGGGGGAACACAAGCAGGGGGAGTGGGAGAGGGAGAAGCAGGCTTCCCGCTGAGCGGGGAGCCTGATGCGGGGCTCCATCCCAGGACCCTGGGATCATGACCTGCGCCGAAGGCAGACGCTTAACGACTGAGCCACCCAGGCGCCCCTAGAAAGTTTTATTATTGGAAGCCAGATTTAGTTCCTCTGCTTAACATGTAATAGAAACGTATTAAGTATTCACTTGATGAACTGAAGAGAGATAAGAAGGATAATTTTCCTAACTGGAGAGAGGTTTGAAAAAAATGAACATGGGTTGTCTGAGCCAGTGGAACCCCTCATTTGAGTTGGGTAGGCAGGAAAGAGCCTTCCCCTGTACTCTCCTGTTCCTGTTCTGGGAGGCCTTGTGCCTTCTCTGATCAGAATGATAAGGAGATTGCTAGACTCTGCCCTCACCAGCCTCTTTATCTTGTAGCTGCGGGCGCCTACCTGCCCCCCCTGCAGCAGGTGTTCCAGGCACCTCGCCGGCCTGGCATTGGCACTGTGGGGAAACCAATCAAGCTCCTGGCCAATTACTTTGAGGTGGACATCCCTAAGATTGACGTCTACCACTACGAGGTGGATATCAAGCCGGATAAGTGTCCTCGCAGAGTCAACCGGTAAGTGATGGACATCTAAGCTACCAAGTCCAGGAGTCTTTACTTTCCTGAGTCTCAGAATCTTCAAACAGTGTCCAGAGAAAACTGGTAGAGGGTGGTATCACCAGATTCAAGGAAGGTTTTGAGGAGGAGATTCCAGGTAAGGTAAACACTGAAAAATATCATTGAATTTGGCTACTAGGAGATAATTGGTGCCTTTTGCAAAGCAGTTTCAGCAGAGTAGTTGGGCTAGTAATCTAACTACAGTGAGTTGAGGAATAGGTAGAAGGTAAAGTGGTAGGGTTAGTGAGAGCAGGTAGCCTTTTCTAAATAGCTTGACAGTGAAGCATGAGGAGAGAGAGAATATGTTGGTTAGAGAGGATTTATAGGGGTCAAGTACAATGCATTGCGCATTGCAATATTTGCTAAAATGAATGAATGGAAAGTTTTTAAGAATGAGACATGGATATGCTTATAAACAGGAGAAGCAGCTAGTTAAAGGTACAGGACAGAAAGAAGAGGAATGCGTTCCCACTCATTGCTAATGCAGGAAGACGTTATAGGACACAGAGTTGGAGGAATTAGCCTTAGAAGAAACAATATTTCTTTCTTTTCGTTTTTTTAAAGATTTTATTTTTAAGTAATCTCTATACCCAACATGGACCTCAGACTCACAACCCCGAGAACAAGAGTCACATTCTCTTCCGACTAAGCCATCTGGGTGCCCTGAAGCAATATTTCTTTTCAAAATTAATTTATTTCATTATTACTTGAAAACTACATATGCACAAAGTAAAAATAAATAAATAAAATATTACAAAAAGAGCAGCAGTGAAAAATAATCTCCTGTTACCCTGGTCTCCAGTCCCCTAGTCCCTTTCCCTAGAGGCATTCACTGTTACCATTCTTCAGTATGTTTCCGTATGTTTTTGTTTGCATGTGCAAGCATATGTATATATAAAACATTTTTAAAACGCACAAAATAGGGGCGCTGGGGTGGCTCAATTGGTGTCTGTCTTTGGCTCATGTCATGATCTCAGGGTCCTGGGATCGAGCCCCGCATTGGGCTCCTTGCTCAGGGGGGAGCCTGCTTCTCCGTCTCCCTCTGCCGCTCTGCCTGCTTTTGTTCTCTCACTCTCCCTCTCTAAATAAATAAATAAAATCTTTAAAAAAAAAAATGCACAAAATATAGAATTCTATATCCCTTGTTTTGTACCTTTTTTCCACTGAACATTATATATCAGATCATGCATATCTGCCTCAGTCTTTTGCATAGCTCGATGGATATTCCATTGAAAGGATGTATTATAACTTAATTAATAAATCTATTGAGGAACACTTAGCTTTAACCTAAACTTTTGCTACAAAAGTGAAACTGTTGAATGTTATTAAATGTAGATACATTTTTGCACTCAAATATGAATGTATCTATAGGATAAATTTCTAGGAGTAGAATTGCTGGCATAATACACTGAAAAATTTGGAGATATTACCAGTTTGTTTTTCTTTTAAGGTAAGTTGTACCAATTTATACTCCCATCATCACAGTATCAGTGCCTCTTCCCCTGTCTGTACTAGTCCAGTGTATTGGATTTTTTGACCTTTGGAATTCTGATAAGTAGAAAATTATATCTTGGGCTAATTTTACTTATTTATTTTTTAATTTTTTTAAAGTAAGCTCTGTGCCCAGCGTGGGGCTTGAACTCACAGCCCTGAGATCAAGAGTTGCATGTTCTACCAATTGAGCCAGCCAGGCGCCCTAATCTTGGTTTAATTTTAAATTGTGTTTCTCTATTGAGTGAAGTTGAACAAATTTTCATTTATTTATTTATTTAAGATTTTATTTATTTATTTGACAGAGGAATAGAGAGAGAGCACAGTTAGGCAGAGCAGCAGGCAGAGAGAGAAGGAGAAGCAGGCTCTCTGCTGAGTAGGGAGCCCGATGCGGGGCTCCATCCCAGGACCCTGGGATCATGACCTGAGCCAAGGGCAGACGCTTAACCAACTGAGCCACCCAGGCGCCCCAAATTTTCATATATTTAAAAATTATATATGGAAGGGACATTTCAAGTGTGAGGGGAAAAGAAAAGAGGTGTACATATATAAATATGTTTATTTGTATGTCTGGGAACTTGAAGGTGGCCTTGCCTATCTTGCGCTCTCTTTTTAGAGTCATTAGAGTTGATTTTTGATTGGCGGTAGGAATGGGTTCTGCAGTTAGAGGGTAGAGGAGAAAGTTTGACACAGTCTATGAGGGATGGAACTGATCAGGGATATGGAAAAGATTGCTTGGTAGCACTAAAGCCTAACTGGGATTGAAACCATGTGTTTACAGTTATTTACAATGTATAATTTGAGTTTTTTAAATCCAGTAGTATTCAAGAGCTTTGAAAGAGAAGAAGTCAGATAGTTGGATGGAATGGTATTTTCAAGGATAAATGGACACTCTGGGATCATAGTGGCAGAGGAGAGGAAGTGAAATCAAGAAAGAGATGATAACGGAGTGATAATGGGGTTGTGGGACTAAGGGCTTCAGAGAGATGGAAGAGATGGGGTTCTTCTTCCACGGTTTATTCCTATTCCAGTTCATATCTTTTCCTCATCTACCTTCTTTATGTCTCAGCTTGGGGATTGGAGCAGCCTGGATTTTGTTCCTGATTCTAGATAGACCCTGGGAATGAGTGCTTTTCCTCTCTGCACGCCCCCTGCCCTGCTCAGAAGGCACATGTACCTACTCTTTCAGATCCTTTAGAGCCTTGTTGATCTGAGAACCAGAAGCATCACTTGATAGCTTGTTAGAACTGTAGAATTTCAGGCTTTGCTCTAGACCTGAATTAGAATCTGCATTTTAATAAAATCTCCAGGTGATTCATATGAATGTTGACGTTTGAGAAGCACTACCTTAGAGTAGAGGAGATTAGAGTAGCTGCTAGGAGGGGATGGACATTACCTGAACATCGAATTGCTTCCAGAAGCTTGTAGTAGTAGTCTCTCAGCTCCTATAGGCTGCTCCTATCCCCCACAGGGAAGTGGTGGAATACATGGTCCAGCATTTCAAGCCTCAGATCTTTGGTGATCGCAAGCCCGTGTATGATGGAAAGAAGAACATTTACACTGTCACAGCACTGCCCATTGGCAATGAACGGGTAAGCTGGGAGTCAGGCTAGACCTGTGGCAGGTGTCTGGGGTGGTACAGAACTCATATAAGCCTATTTGGAGTCTGGCAGTCCAAAAATTCCTTTCATCTTTTCTGATGAGAAAGTGTGTTTTAGGGTGAGGAATGGGTAGATGCTGATGTTTATTTAGCCTAGCGTATGTCTGTCCCTGTCCCAAACAGACTGAGATAAGACTTAAAACAGATCTAAAGGACTTCTGCTAAGTTGAGAAGGATAGAAGTACTGAGCTAAGGTAGCTAGAGACTAAATGTCTGGATTTCCTCTGAAATCTTCATTGTGAGCCCCTGTCAGTTTAAGGAGCAGGTGCTTGGCAAATCTGTGTGGTGCGGGACAGCTGGGGCAGGACAAGGAATGTTGGACTGTGGGAAAGCATTGGCAACCTTTCACTCCTTTCTTCTGAAGGTTGACTTTGAGGTGACAATCCCTGGGGAAGGGAAGGATCGAATCTTCAAGGTCTCCATCAAGTGGCTAGCTATTGTTAGCTGGCGCATGCTGCATGAGGCCCTGGTCAGTGGTCAGATCCCTGTTCCCTTGGAGTCCGTGCAAGCCCTGGATGTGGCCATGAGGCACCTGGCATCCATGAGGTACTGGGTTTAGTTAGTATCTGGGCAACTAGTGGTGGCAGAATTGCTATGCGGGGAGGTGGGGAATGAGCACATACTAAGGTCCCACAGTATGCCTCTCAAATAAAACATTCACTGAAGCCCTACCATATGCCAAGCAGTATGCATATACATTTAGGTGGTTTAAAGCCTTGGCCCTGGCCCTTACAGATATCTTTGGACCTCCACCCCATCTGTCCCTGCAGGACAGAGAAAAGATAGACTTGCACAAGGTCAGTCATACAACTAGTAAAGGATCAGAGCTGGAATTAAAGCCCTGGTGTCCTGCCTTCCAGGCCAGGGCTCCTCCGTGCCCAGGATGCCTCACAGGGTGGGGGCCTGTGCCCGAGGGACCAGTTCTCTGCCTGTCCCTGCCAGGTACACCCCTGTGGGCCGCTCCTTCTTCTCACCGCCTGAGGGCTACTACCACCCGCTGGGGGGTGGGCGCGAGGTCTGGTTCGGCTTTCACCAGTCTGTGCGCCCTGCCATGTGGAAGATGATGCTCAACATTGATGGTGAGTGGGGAGAGCTATGGAGCCAGGGGCACCCTGAGTCCAGTGACCACACTCCCAGCCTCATCCCTCCCAGCTCTGCAACCATACTCCTAGTCTAATCCCTATAGCCCTTGGGACCCCTCTCCCATCCCAATAACCCTATAAGGAAGAGGGTGTGAAGAGCAGTGCCTCCATTTATTCTGGAAGACCAAACCTGAGCTGAGCTATACCTGCCCTGTCCCCACAGTCTCAGCCACTGCCTTCTACAAGGCACAGCCGGTGATTGAGTTCATGTGTGAGGTGCTGGACATCAGGAACATAGATGAGCAGCCCAAGCCCCTCACAGACTCGCAGCGTGTGCGTTTCACCAAGGAGATCAAAGGTGAGGACCCAACCAAGTGGGGAAGGGAAACAGCACCATTTTGTCTTTAGTCCTACTTGGGATATGTCCAGGGGAGAGGCCAAGCCTGGGCGCATGAGCAGCCTTTTCCAACCCTGACAAGCAGTGTGTGTATCCCAGGCCTAAAGGTGGAAGTGACCCACTGTGGACAGATGAAGAGGAAATACCGTGTGTGTAATGTTACCCGCCGCCCTGCCAGCCATCAGACGTGAGTTGACCGGCTGCTAAGCCATACCTTGGTAGAAGAGGGCTGATATTTCAACATGCTTCTTTCACTCCCCTCCCTCTCCAACCCCTACCAGCCCTGAGGATGAGCCCTGTTTTCAAAGATAAGCTGTGGGAGTTTGGTATCCCTCCTCCAAACTTCCCAGATCCTTCATACTCTCCTTAACGTTTTTACCTTCTTGGTCTCCACCTTTCCTCCTTGGGCCTTTACTGTAGAACAGGAGTCTTCTCTGGACTACTGTCTCAGTTCTGTAAATGTTAGGATCTCTCACAACTTATTCTTCCTCCTGAAAAAGAAAGCAGGGCTCCTGGGCTAGACCTTGGGGAAGCTGTCATTGATTCCATCTACTTTCTTGACCTCAGACTACTGGACTATGAGTACCCGCTGTGTGTTGGACTTTATGCTCAGCCTTAGAAATGCGTATGTCAGATATGGTCTTGAGCGTTGTGGAACTTGCCTCTCAAATCTTTTGTCTTCACTCTTGGAGCTGTGTATGGCCTGCTTTCCCATGAGTGGCAGTGCTCAAAGAGGCTGGATAGGGATGAAGCCAAGTCTGGGGCTTCCCATGGTTGTAAGTCTAAAGAGTTGGGATTAAGTGCTGGGCTCTGACACTTCCTTCCCTTTCCCCAAACAGGTTTCCCTTGCAGCTGGAGAGTGGACAAACTGTGGAGTGCACAGTGGCACAGTATTTCAAGCAGAAATATAACCTTCAGCTCAAGTATCCGCATCTGCCCTGCCTGCAAGTTGGCCAGGAACAAAAGCATACCTACCTGCCCTTAGAGGTGAGGCTGCCAAGTAATGGCTGGGTTGGAGAACAAGCATTGTACCTGCACACTGATCATGAGAGGTCTGTTCTTCCATTCGTAGTCTCTCATTCTCATTTTGAAGTTTGGAAAATTGACGTTCTGAGAGGTGTGAGGTCATTCTGTGAATTGTAGGCCTCATTCTTACCTGCTAATTTCTTTCGTTATTCCCCATCCTGCTCTCATGTTCTTTTAGGACTGCCAGGCAAAGGTGAAAGCTGTATTTATGTTTAATAAATAAGTAGTTTGTTCATGACAGATTTCAGATATCCACATTCATGTTAATTTTTATTTCTCTTACCCTGTCTTAACTTCTAATTTTTCTTACCTGCAGCTGGGCATCCTAAATGACCTAGAGATACAAGTATACCTTATTTTCCGGAAAATGGGAGATACCTGTTAGCTATAATGTGAATCTTATTCATGTTATCAATGTGATGATCAATGTGTTCCTTTTGAGAAGGTTTTAGGCCCAAGATTTATCCTAGTTTTATGCTTTAGCAGACCTTTAAAATCCTGCAGTTAAAGAATAGAAATGCTGTTTAAGTCATAGAATATAAATGCAGAACCATTGGGCTATATTTGATTTGGTATACACTAGCCAAAATGTCTAATGAGAAACTACTGCTGACTTCTTCATTGTTTAGTCCAGTACTACTCCAAGTATGGTCAGTAGACCAACAGCAACAGGTATTACTTGAGTGGGACTTGTTTGAAATGCGGAATCTCAGGTTCCACCTAGAACTATTGAATCAAAATCGTCTTTTAACAGAATCCAAAGAGGATTCATATGAACATTACAGCTGGAGAAGCACTAACCTAGAATAACATCTTACTCTGTTTCCACAGCAGGAGTCAGATAGCTGGGACCAAAGCTCAAGCCTTCTGTGAGCTTCCGGGATTTCAGAACTAACCAGAAGGAATTAGGCTGAGGGGAGATAAGATCCCAATACCCAAGAACTCTGACTTTAGTTAATAGCTGTTGATGCATGGAAAGTGGGATGAAGACAGTATGTTCTCTTGAGGTGTAAATAGGAGTCTTCAGGACAGTCCCAGCTAAGTAGATAGGCTTTAGTTAGTATCTACTGCAAGCTAAGATTTTTAGCAAATTAACATTACTTCTGTTTAAGCATTAGTTTCCAAGGTGAATAATTTACATAATGACATATTTTCATTCTTATTATCGTTTGTTTATTTAACAAATATAAATTGAGCTCATGCTGTGTGTCATATGCTCTTTTAGGTGCTGGAATTGCAGAGATTAACAAGACAGAGAAGGTCCCTGCTATCGTGGAGCTTACATTCTAGAAGGGGGAGATAGACAATAAATAAATAAGATAGTTTCAGATAGTTGTAAGTGGTATAAGAATAATAAAACAGATTAAGGGGACAGAAGTAAGGGAGGAGGGGTTTGGAGAGCAACTTTAGTTATTATGGTCAGGGAGGGTCTCTTTTAGGAGACATTTGAGTCCTAAGTTATGATAGAAACAACCTTTAATAACTTGAGGGAAGATCCTTCCAGGCAGGAAGTAAATAGTAAGTACAAAGGCTCTAAAGCAGCAAGGAGCTTGGATTTTTTAAGAGATAAGAAGGCCTTAGTGGCTGGTGTGTAGTATATGAGGGGAAAAGCAGTAGGGGATGATTTCAGAGAGAAGTGCAGGGTCTAATCATGTAGGCTATTATAGCCAGGGGGGACTTCTTTTGTTTTGTTTTGCTTTTTAGAATAACTTTATCAAGATATAATTCACATACCATAAAATTTACCGTCTTAAAATGTACAATTCGGTGGTTTTTAGTATGTTCAGAGTTGTATAACCATTACTATTATCTAATTCTAAAACATTTTGTCATCTCCAGAAGAAAACCTGTACCCATTAGTAGTCACTTACACTCCTCCTCTCCACAAATCAGCCCTTAGTAATCACTAATCTATTTCTGTCTTTGTGCATTTGTCTATTCTGGACATTTCATATGAATAGAATTATATAATATGTGGCTTCTTTTGACTGGCATATTCCACTTAGCATAATGTCTTCAAGGTTCGTTATATTGTAGCATGTGTCAGAATTTTCTTCCTTTTTAAGGCTAAATACTATTCTCTCGTACATATATACCACATTTTTTATCCATTCATTCATTCATTGATGGATACACTTAGGTCGCTTCCACTTTTTTAGCTATAACGAATAATGCTGCTATGAATATAGGTGTACAGATATTTGTTCTAGTTCCTGCTTTTCTTTCTTTTGAGTACATACTCAGATACGGATTTACTGAATCATATCGTAATTATGCGTTTAATTTTTTGAGGAATTACCATACTGTTTTCCACAGTGGCTGTACCATTTCGTATTCTCACCAGCAGTGCATAGGGTTCCAATTTCTCCACATCCCTGCTTTAGTTTTTTCCTAATGTTGATTCTGTAGCTGAAATTATCTGTTAAGAGTGCTACAACTTTAAGGTGCTTTTAAGAGGGCAACCTCCTAAATTAACAATGCTGGATTTTTATTAATTGAATCGATTAATTTGTATATTCTTTGGGATATGGAATTTAAGAGCAGGTGACCTTGTCCTGGTTTTCCCTACCATTTTTCAAAATAAAATTTGGAAATTAGGAGGAAAACCAGTACTTACATAGTGTTGGCCCTATGGGAACAAATTATATATTTCATTTTGTCTAACTCCTCACAACAACCTCATAGACAGCTAGTGTTTTATCCCATGACTGAAATTAAAGAAGCAGAGTCTCAGAGTAGTTAAGGGACCTGCCCAAGGTACTATCACCTAGAAATGGCAAAGCTGGACTTCAAACTCAAGCCTTCCCAACCTACTGGCTTTCTGTACTCTGCCAACAGACTTCCTGTTCATAGCATCCTGAATATAGTATATTGGGGAATGGAAGTCTTGTACTTCACTAGAAAGTCTTTTCTGATTTCCACTGTGTTCTCTTGGGCCTAAAACAGGAATGCATGGCAGGATGTTCCTCACACCAATAGAGGACGCTGTCAGACAACACAGACTGATTTTAGGGCTTAGTGATCATCTGTAGGCTGGGGCTCAAGAGTTAAGAGCCATCTCCAAGTTCTCCCGGTGGGTTGCAGAGGAGCAACCGACTGCCTGTCACCATTGAAGAGGGCTATCTGCTACCTTAGGAATCCAGTTTGTGTGTATTTAGTTTTTTAGTATTCAGAAGAGCTCTATACTGGGTCCTTTGGTAAATAATAATTTACGCTAGAGTTTACTGAGTGTTTACTGTGTTCCAGAACTGTACACAGTCCTTTAAGTGCTTTATTTTATTTAGTCTCTGAACAACCCTATGAGATTGTTACTGTTCTTCCCAGTTAACATGAGACCTGAGCCCAGATCTGGCTCTGGATCCCAATCTGTTAATGACAAAGTGGCTATATTGCCTTTTGTATTGCACATGGATATTTTCTAACTTACCTGTCTCCGCACAAGAGATTTTGCAGTCCCCTTCCCAGGGCTGACAGCCAAGGTGTCTTCCCTTATTGTGGGGCTCTGGGTACAGGGTGGGCTGTACTCAAGCCAGAGCTACCTGTCCTTCTCGTTTCCTCAGGTCTGTAACATTGTGGCTGGGCAGCGCTGCATTAAGAAGTTGACCGACAACCAGACTTCGACCATGATAAAGGCTACAGCTAGGTCGGCCCCAGACAGACAGGAGGAGATTAGCCGCCTGGTCAGTAGGGCTGCAGAGAAATGTATGCTTGGTTGCTCAGTCATTGGGGCCCCTGGTAGCATAGATGCTTTTCTGCCTTGGCAGGATCCTCAGGAGAACACAAGTCTGGATTTGTTGCCTGGGATTCCATAGGACTGCTCTTGCTCTTGACCCTGTAGCTACTTGGCTTCCTATTTCTTTTTCCCTCCTGTATTACTTCCCTGTGTTATCCACTCCCACTTACTTCACTTTCCACTTTCCCACCTTTTTTTAGGGCTATTACTTGCCAGCCCCAGCTGCTCTTCAGGGCTTTCTCCTTGGGACCCAGAGGGTGAGCAGTATTGCCAAGCTGCTTCTCTCCTGAGATCCCCTTCTTTTGTCTTGCAGATGAAGAATGCCAGCTATAATCTAGATCCCTACATCCAGGAATTTGGGATCAAAGTGAAGGATGACATGACGGAGGTGACGGGGCGAGTGCTGCCGGCCCCCATCCTGCAGTACGGCGGCCGGGTGAGCAGGGTCAGGGCCAGACAACATCTCTAGGGCATATGGGAGGGGGGAATTGGGTTTATATAACCGGGGGCTTTTGCTCCCCTACTCACCTGGCTCTACTGAGGCTCACCTGGGCACCCCCTCTGCCTATCTCCAGAACCGGGCCATTGCCACACCTAATCAGGGTGTCTGGGACATGCGGGGGAAACAGTTCTACAATGGGATTGAGATCAAAGTGTGGGCCATCGCCTGCTTCGCACCCCAAAAACAGTGTCGAGAAGAGGTGCTCAAGTAAGGAGGGTTGGGTGTATGGGTGGAAGGGTGGGAAGGACCCTAGCTGCCTACCTTCCCCTACCCACAAGGGGCCAAGATTTGATCTGTGGTCTCTTCTTTCTGACTCTTGACCCTGCTTCCCTGTGCTTCCTGGCTCAAACTTCTGCCTGTTCCTTTTCTGTCCATCTGTGGTCAGAAGTCTTGATAAGAAGCTGTATTTGTGTCAGAAATGATGATTTCAGGACATGAATCTCCTAAGGGAGGCCTGAATTATTTTACTGTTATAATTACTAACATTGGTAGTAAATAATATAGTGATGGCTATAATGTTGCACCAGCACTCGATCTAATTTAATGTTCTCTCATTTCATCTTCACAGTGAGTAGGTGGTGGTGTTTCCATTTTCAGGAGACTGAGGCTCAAAGAGTACCTTGTACAAGGTTTACATATCAAGAAAGTGTCAGAGTTGGGATCAAATCAGATGTGAGGCTTCAAAGCTTGTATTCCTCATTGGAAACAAAAGCTCAGCTGGTTCTCTGCTCTGTCCTCTCCTATATTATATACAGAATTTGTTCATTCAGGTCCAAGTGACCTGAATTAGATGAACATGAGTTGTAAGGGCCTCTTAGCTTACTTAGTGGCTGAGGGGCTAGGAACATATGACAGCAATGAAGAAAATGATATAGCCAAATGGTTTAAAGGAACACATTAGGGGAGTAATGGTCTTGAGCAAATGAATGAATAGTAAAGTAACTGACCCTTCCCCTGCAGTCTTTTTTTTATTGAGATATTTCAAATACCACAAAATTAACCCATTTAAAGTGTATAGTTAGGTAGTTCTTGTAGTCTTTTGATGTGGTCACTTCTTATTCTCTTTGGATCTAGAGCAGGGTCAAAGGATCAATGCCCACCTAGGCTGAGGAAGAGTTGGTGGAGCTGACCACTTTGGGTATTGACAAGGATAATAGAGCTGTGTGTTCTGGCAGGTTCAGCTGGCCTTGGGGTTTTCATAAGAATTAGTTACAGCAGCACCTGATGAATGTAGGGACTCCGCTGCCCTGCCTGTCCTTCTCCCCTCTCCCCTCATAGATACACAACTACCACCATCACACTTAATAGTTTCTTTTAAATGAGTTCCTCTTGTCCCCTTTCCTGGGTTTTGGGGATTTTAACGCCATTTAGATTAGGCCACTCCTAGCCTTGGCCTAGCATTGGAGAGCTGGCCTTTAGCAGTATTGGAAAGGCTCCCAGCTCTCTGCCTTTGTGTCAGCTTATTGGTAGCTCTATTCTCTGTATGCGTCTCTCATTCCCATGTTCTTTCCCTGTTCAGTTCTTTTGAGAAAATCCATTGTTTTTGACATTTTGGGGTACAGAAACTGATAAACCTAGAATCTCTGCGTTGGGAGTCTGTTCATCAGACATCCCCTTCTCCCAATGATCCCCAGATGCAAGGGGTAAGAATATGACTTATATACCTGAGTCAGTGGTACTCAGTTGGTTGTTTGGTTTTGGGCCTAAAGATTAAAATCGGAGTCTTCGGGTATGGCAGTGGATGAGATTGTCCAGGGAGAATGTACATGGTGAACAGAGGCTGAATATAAGAACTCTGAGAAACTGGAAAGTAAATAGAGCAAAGTTCCTAAGTGTGTGTGAGGGGATGGGATCCAGAGCACAGGAAAAGAGATAGAAGAGAGAAGTGAAGGTGGCTGTGGAGGTTGAGAAATTGGTAATTGGGGATGGATGAGGGAGTCCTGTGGTCAACCCTCAGGATTTTTCTTCTGGCTAAAGAAGTTCTGTTACCTCCACTATATCACTTTTAGGAGAGGATTTCAAGATCTTCCCCATTCTAGACTTCTTTCAACACGTGGCCCCCAGCACAGAACACAGTATGCTAAGTATGATCTGGTGGTAGAGAAAAGATTGGGAATACCACTTTCTTTGAAGTAGAGACCCACTTAATAAATTTGACTTATTAAATTTGATGTTCCTTTATATCCTCCATATTAGTTCAGTTTCTCCCTCTAATGTAGCCACTGTCATGAACTATTATGACCTTCCATCTAATTTATATGTTTTATACACCTATATACAAATGATTTAAATTTTATTTTTAAGATTTAGTTATTTAGAGAAAGAGAGAGACAGCACAGGGGTGGGGGGGTGGGGAGGCGGGAAGGGGCAGAGGGAGAGGGAGAGAGAAGCCCAGGCAGGCTCTGAGCTGAGTGTGGAGCCCAACATGGGGCTCAGTCTCACGACCCTGAGATCACAATCCAGCCAAACCAAGAGTCAGAGTTCAACAGCCTATGCCACCGAGGCGCCCCTCAAGTGATTTTGAATTTTACGTAATAGTATCATACTGTATTTATCTTGTGTTTGCTTTTTTTTTCTTTACTAAATATGTGAAAAAATACTTATTTTCTCACTATATAGACTTTTGAATGTATCATACTGGTATTTATATGCTATAGAATGTCCCCTAAATAATTGCTTTTATTCCCTATTTGTATATTGCTTTTAATCTAAGATTTTCACGAGTTAAATTTTCTGCTATTTATTTCAGTCAGTCATTGTACTTAGGTAGCTTGATTTTTTAAACCTACTGCATATGTATCATTTCTTCCAACTTTGTCTTCCTTTCCTAGGGTAAAGCCCTAAAGCCAAAGGAAAGAAGCTTGTTTAATTATCTGCTCTTAGGCTTCAAAGAATCAGTAGGGGAGGAGGGAGCTCATTTTTGCTGAGCACCTCCTGTGCTCTGATCACTGTTGGAGCTTATTTTAATATGAGCAGAGGCCTTTCTCTTGGGCATTTGCCTACTGCTACAGACTTAGTGCACAGAAATCAGCTACTTGAGTGGAACAAAGTGGGGACTCCGAATTCCCAGAGGTCCCTTCTCTGGGCTCCCTCGGCTCTCTGCTTATACCATTGAATACTTAGCAAGTGTGATTTTGTCCTACTCAATTATAAATGTGTTTTTTTTTTTTATACTGGCTGTGATCATGTCTCATTTATCTCAGAATATCTCAGGGGCTATCCTAGTGCTAGGTACCTAAGATGGAGGCATTTGTTCAGAGGTATTAAAGTGGGACTCACTGCCTCCTGTCATGACCATACTTGTGCTGCAGGAACTTCACAGACCAGCTGCGGAAGATTTCCAAGGATGCAGGGATGCCCATCCAGGGCCAGCCTTGCTTCTGCAAATATGCGCAGGGGGCAGACAGCGTGGAGCCCATGTTCCGGCATCTCAAGAACACCTACTCAGGGCTGCAGCTCATTATCGTCATCCTGCCAGGGAAGACGCCAGTGTATGGTACAGTTCTCTGGGGACAGTGATAATGAAGACAGGACTCTTCTCAGGGTAGCTCCCTGGAGGCTCCTAGGGAGGACTCAGTGTGGGTTCTTTGCTCTAGCCAGAGTTCTTCCTTAATATCAGTATTCCTTTTGAAGGAGAAATACTAGCCTGTATGAGCCATTGAGTTATCCTAGGTCCTGCTTACCTGCTCACACTCCATCCCAGTAGCACTTACTGGGGTCCTCTGCGTGCTGGTCTTTATGCCGGGCTAAGCTGAGCCAGATACAGATATGTGTCAGTCCAGATTCCTTCCCATCCCTGGGAGTGTGACGACTATCAGGACATTGTGCAGCACCCTCAAGCAGAATCTGTGGTGGTTCAATAAGTGGTTTGTTGCCTGGGAATGACTTGGACTTTTCTCTCTCTCCCACTTTTCAGAATAGGGATGATTATATATATGTCTGGCTCAACGCTTTTACTCTGTTTTCCCAGCACCTCTCCTGTTTCAGAAGAAGAGGTGTCCCTCCTCTTACCTTGTTCAAGCCACGTATGCTCTTGATTCCATCTCATCCTGCCGCTTCTGGGACTTCATACCCTTTGACCCTCAAACCTGTTCGGATTCCCCATCCAAGAGTACATCACCACAATCATGCCATCTCCTTCAGCTTTTGTCTTCCTGTTTCTTGTTTTTCTTCATCGTACTTTTTGAATGAGTTCTCCACATTTTCTAGACCCACGCCCTCACCAGCTGCTTACTACTTTGCCCTTTCATCTGTCGTACCTCTAACTTTCTCCAGAGCTTGCCCTGCAGAGAGCCATCGGTGACCTTTCTCACTTCTCTTCGCTTGACTTTCTCCTATCTCTCTTTAATTACTTTTGTTATTACCAGATATGCCTGGTATTTTCCAGATTTCTATACCCTGCCTTCTCTATCTTTACATTCTAGTGAAATTTTCATTTATTTCAGTTGCTTAAATCATCACGTCTTACTAATATATGTTATAATGTATTATTAAATCTTGGTCCAACCCTTGACCTCTCCACTGTTCCCATCTGTCCCTTTGACCTTTTTCACTTCTATAGGCATTTATTAATCACCTACTATGTGTAAAACACTGTGCTAGGTCATAAATACATTGGTGAATAAAACAGATGTAGTCTCTGCTCTTATAATGTGTTTTGATGGACATCTCTTTAGTAGCTTATCTTCTCTCTTTATCAGTAAGCTCTTCTCTTTACATCTTCTGTGTTTGGCATCGTAATTGCTTCTGGGTACCTTCATCCAAACTCTGGAGGCAGTGTTAACTTTGCTTCATCTCCATCATCATCTTTTTTACAGTCTTAAGATCTGTTCTCTGCTCTCTACCCACACTTCTAACATTTTTTCTTAAATCTTTCTTGAATAAGAAAGGTTTTTTCATTTACTGGATGAGACCTTTTGTGACTCTACTCCCAAAAAAACTTTCATTGATATGAATTCACAAAATAAAAATTTTTCAGGGCCCTGATCTTAGTTTAATGTTTTCAGCTTTATCCTGTACTCTTCCCTTTGCCACACATACTGGGAAGATCACTTGTTCTGGAATTAGATAGAAATGGATCTTAATCCTGGCTATGCCAGTTTACTGATTTAGGCAAATTACCTAACCTTTCTGAGCCTCATGAATTAATTATATAAAAAGCAACATCTAGCACAGTGCCTGGCACGTAGTAGATACTCTAAATCTCATTTCTTCTTCTTTTTTTTTTTTTTAAGATTTTATTTATTTATTCATGAGAGACAGAGAGGCAGAGGCAGAGGGAGAAGCAGGCTCCCGCAGAGCAGGGAGCCCAATGTGGGCCTCGATCCCAGGACCCCGGGATCATGACCGGAGCCAAAGGCAGATGCTTAAGCCAAAGGCATGACCTGAGCCACCCAGGCATCCTAAATGCTCATTTCTTGCCTGTGCTTTCTAATCTTTGGCTTTGTTTACATCATCTGCCTTTTTCTAGAATATCTACATACTCTTCCTCTTATCCCCCCATGTTGCCCTTAAAATTCTGTCAAGTCTCAGTTTAAGTGTACTTATTTCTGGAAGCCATCTCTTACCATCCTACCTAGAGGATAAATCTTTCTGGATACCTCTGGAAATTTTATCAGGCTGCCGGTCAGTTATAACCTTCCTTAATATTATTTTGAGCATGGAGTAGATTTTGTTTTGCTCTGAAACCTTCTTCCCTTCTGCATATGTAAACTTAAAGTAAAGCCTTCCACTGACATGATACTCAGTAATTGCTTGTGGAGGGAAGTTGGTTGATCTCCAGTCCATGTCTCTGGGCCTTTATTGATAGCCCTTGGATGCAAAATAAGGGTACGTGTTAGGAGAACTGCCTTGAGTAATTATCCACATTTCTGGCTCTCTCCATTAAGGGGAGAATCCAGTATTGGTTTACCTGGGGAGTAGTATAGTACAGCATGCTGGGGGAAGGCAGTGCTTACTCAGAGAATTTCCCCCCATCCTGGGCTCAGTAATGTTATCCCTCTCTTCAACTTTGATGAGGACCTTGGGTTTCTTCTACTTACATTCTGTTCCTTGATTATATGCCACTTGGACAATGAAAACAATTGCTTAGGAATTAAGCCAGCAGATAAGAGGAGCAGTTAGATTCTTCTAAAAACCCTCACCTTCCCTCCTTGGAGACCAAAGCAAGTTCCAGTTGCATTGTGGTTGCCCTTAGAGTATAGAAGGACAGTGTGACATTTGTCCAGTTCTGATCTGCTACCACATCTCATCCTGTCCTTAGTATTTTTAACTCCTTCCTCTCCACTAAATTGATACTATTATCCTTTTTTTTTTCTTATGTAAACTTTTTATTGTAGTATACATGTAGAAATCTTAAGAGTTCAGGGGCGCCTGGGTGGCTAAGTGTCTGCCTTCGGCTCAGGTCATGATCCTGGGGTCCTGGGATCGAGCTCCACCTTGGGCTCCCTGCTCAGCGGGGAGCCTGCTTCTCCCTCTCCTCCCCGCTCATGCTGTTACTGTCTCTTTTTCTCTCAAAAAAAAAAAAAAAAAAGCTTAAGAGTTCAGTTCAATGAATTTTTACAAAATGTCACGACAGGGTAACCAGTACCCAGTTTTAGGAGCAAAACATTACCACAACCTCAGGCTGTCAGTCACTACAGGTCCACATCAATGGTGATCACTATTTTGGCTTCTAATGCCATAGCTTTGTTTTGACAGTCTTTGAACTTTATGTAAATGAATCATTTATTAGGTACTTTTTTGTGTCTGGCTTTTACTCAACATTATGCTTATGAGATTCAACCATGTTTGTTTAGTCGTAGTTTGTTATAGTTTTTCCATTAGATGACTATAACACAGTTTACATGTATTACCCGTTCTGCCATCAGTGGGCATATTTGTGTTGTTCCCAGTTTTTACTGTTAAAAATAAAGCCTCAGTGTACATTCTTGTACATATCCTTTGAACATATATACCCATTTCCACAGGGTGTGTATTTAGGAGGAATTTTATTTATTTATTTATTTTTAAAGATTTTATTTATTTGTCAGAGAAAGAGCTCAGGCAGAGGGTGAAGCAGGCTCCCAGCTGAGCAGGGAGCCTGATGCAGGGCTCGATCCCAGGACCCTAGGATCATGACCTGAGCTGAAGGCAGATGCTTAACCCACTGAGCCACCCAGGCGCCCCTCTAGGAGGAACTTTAGTGTATAGTTTACACTTCCACCAGCAGTGTATGAGAGTTCTAGATATTTTATATCCTTACCAAACTTGATATTGATATCTTCCATTTTAGCTGTTTTTGTGGTGTCTAGTGATATTGTGTTGTGCTTTTAATTTGATTTCTCTGATGATTGATAAAGTTGGGTATCTTTTTATATGTCTGTTGGCAATTTCACTAGGCTCTTTTGTAAAGTGTCTACTCATGTCTTTCCCTTTTCTTTTTATTGCCTTAACTACCTTTTTCTTATTGATTAATTTATAGGTGATTTCTTATTGATTTATAATTCCTTCATTTAATATGTATGTGTATTATACATATATTCTCTGCTTTGTGGCTTGCCTTTTTACTTTCTTAATGGAGTCTTTTGTTGAACAGAAATTCAAAATGTTAATGTAGTCCAATTTGTGTAACATTTTTTCTTTATGGCTAGTAAGTTCTGTGTCCTGTTTAAGAAATCCAAAGATTGTAAGATGCTAGTCTATGTTTTTTTTTAAAGATTTTATTTATTTATTTGAGAGAGAGAATGAGAGAGAGCAAGCGTGAGAGGGGGGAAGGTCAGAGGGAGAAGCAGACTCCCCACTGAGCAGGGAGCCCGATGCGGGGCTCCATCCCGGGACTCCAGGATTGTGACCTAAGCCGAAGGCAGTTGCTTAACCAGTTGAGCCACCCAGACACCCCTATGTTTTCTTTTAAATGTGTGGTTTTTTGTTTGTTTGTTTTTAACCTTTCACATTTAGAATTAGTCTGTCTCCTCCAGAAACTCTTGCTTTCTCCGTCCCCTGGCAGTGGTTCCTCTACTGGTGCAAAGCCTAGAATCTCAGCCTCGTGCCCACACCTAGAATCAGCAAGTGTACCCAGGGTAAAAGCAGCTGCAGAAGAAAGCTCACCTTGGTGAGATTCTCTGCCTCTCTGGAGTTTTTGCCCCTTCAGTTCTTGTCTCCGCACCTCTCTTTTGCCTTCAAAAGATGATTTCTGTATTTTGTCTGGCTTTTCTGAATGTTATCTGCAGAAGCATTGGTTGGTCACTAACTACTCCATCTCCCTTGGTAGTGGAAATGATCCTTTTAGCTTTTTCAACATGTTCAGGTCTCTCTCATTGAAAACATACTAAATCCTTCATTGATCTCACATCTCCTTCTTGGCACTTTATATCACCAAAATAGTTTTTGCCTCTATACATTAGTATTTTGCCTTGATATCGATTCAAAGGACATTTCTGGGGGCGCTTGGGTGGCTTAAACGGTTAAGTGTCTGACTCTTGATCTCAGCTCAGGTCTTGATCTCACAGTCATGAGTTTAAGCCCCACATTGGGCTTCACGCTGGGCGTAGAGCCTACTTAAAAAAACAAACAACAGAAAAACAAAGGACATTTCTGGTCCTTATTTTACTAGATCTCTTAGCATTTGATTTTGTTGAACACTTGCTCCGTTTTGAAACCCTCTCTTTCCTTGGCATTCATGATACAACCCTGTCTTCCTCCTAGTTTTCTGGGTATTTCTCCTTTGCAGACTCACTTCTTAGCTGTTCTGCAAATATTAGGAGTTCTTCAAGACTCAGGTCTAAGCCCTACTCCTTTCACCTGTTCTCTTCCTTGATGATCTCATCAAGATCATGCCTTTAATTACTATCTGTACAAATATCTAACAGATTTTATATCCCCTTTCAGACTGCTTTTGAACTTTCAACTACTCTTCTCATTGCCGAATTGACATCCTCACTGGAATTACCAGAAAGCACTTCAAATTCAAAAGGTTGCAAGAACAGTTTATGACCTATCTTTTATTATAAAAGCTAGAAACTTGAAGTTAACCATAAAAATTCTTTTCCCTTACATATATCATCTCTGAGTCCCTTAAATATCTCTTGAATCTGTCTGTTTCTTTCTATCTAAGCAATTGTCTTCTTAGTACAAGCTACCTTCAGTTCTTGCTAGATCAGTCTGATGACCACATTCTTTCTCTCACACCATGGTTCCTTTGCTCTCCTTTTAGTTACTTTGGCCTTTCAGTTTCTCAGACATATTTCCTATCAGAGTGCATTTTTGATGCTGTTCCCTCTGTCTGGAATGCTCTCTCCCAACTCCGCCTCTCTTCTAATGAAATCTTTGGGTTTCATTTCTATCATTATTTAGTCCATTCCTGGCTGGGTTATTACCCCCTATTATAAGCTCTCATATCTTCATGAAGTTTTCTGTTGTAGCATTTATCATTGTACTTTTCATGACTTTTAAGATTAGTCACTAGACAGTAACCACTACGATTAGGGACCCTATGTTTCTGGTTACCATTGTGTTCTTACCACCTCGTATCCTGCCTGACATCTAATCAGCATTCAGTAAATATTCGTTGAATGCACTAATTACATCTTTCCCTGCTTATAGCTGAAGTGAAACGTGTTGGAGATACACTCTTGGGAATGGCTACACAGTGTGTGCAAGTGAAGAATGTGGTCAAGACCTCGCCTCAGACTCTGTCCAATCTCTGCCTGAAGATCAATGTCAAACTTGGTGGCATTAACAACATCCTAGTCCCACACCAGCGGTATGAACTCTATTGCCCACTTGCCCTGTCAAGCAAGGTACCATGTCGGGAATTGACAAAACGACAGGACTTTGGCCAGGCGCAGTGAATCAGACACAAGGGGAGAGATGACCAGAATGGGTGCTAGATGGTGCCAGGAAGAGAAGACCCAACTCCTCACCATTTGTTTTCTCTTCTTTGTTTAGCTCTGCCGTCTTTCAACAGCCAGTGATATTCCTGGGAGCAGATGTTACACACCCCCCAGCAGGGGATGGGAAAAAACCTTCTATCACAGCAGTGAGTGATACTCTCCAGCTTCTTCTTAAGGTTCTCATTTTAGCTCTGAGCACCGAAGACTACATATAATCTCCTTTTCTCAGCTCTGACGCTTGACCCTTCATAAGAACTTTTTTTTTCAGCTGATCATCCCCATTAACCACTCCCTTGATATCTTCATAAAACTAACTCTGTATGGTATCTATTTTTCAGAGAGAGCAGTGAGAGTGTAGGTGGTGGCCAGAGACTTTGCCCAGTCTCTATCACTCTTGCTCTGTGTTCACATTTCTCTCTCTCCGTGCCCACTTTTGGGATATGGGAAAGACCATGTCTCTTCTGTGAAATCCTTTTGAAGGTGGTTACTTAGTTGTTGGGACTGTCCTTTCCTCTTCCCCATCCCTACCCCTGATCCATCTAGTAGATTAAATGTCTTTCCAGTCCCTCTCCTGACTTCTCTGCTCCCTGTCCCTAGAGGCTTCCGAATTGCTAGAAGGATCAGGCCTTCTTCCCACTTCTCTTTCCTCAGCCCTCACGTTTCTCCAGGCAGACTGGGCTAAGCACAGTAAATGCAGGGAAATCCTGTACTGTGCTTATCCTTGTTTTCCTTGTGGCCATCCGTGCTAGGCTCTGACCACTGTCCCCTTTGAAAGTGATGTTACTCCTACCTCCTGCAGGAACACTCTTCACTCTGGTTCCTGGGTAGATTAGTACTTGAATTGAGAAAAGGACAAAAGGACAAACCTGTGGCTCTTTGAGCTAGTAGTGCCAAGCCTTCACATGCCTTCCTGCAAGGGGTGAGAAAATTGAACTTACCAAGTACTTACTGTGAGCTAGGTCCTATGCAAGGTGTTTTATATGTACCACAGCAGCACTGCAAGCAGGTGGCATTCTTACCTATTTGAGAGGAGGAAAAAGATCAGATGGATTAAATAACTTCTGCATGCATGATAGAGATTGAAACCAGGACCACAATGAATCCAAAACCCTCCTAACTCGTTTGCATAGTTTTCTTGCTAAGAAGCTTCCCCAAATCTACGTCCTAACAGTGTTGGGAGGGTGGAGATTCTGGAGGCTGATCTTGCCTCTTTGATTGTTAGGTAGTAGGCAGTATGGATGCCCACCCCAGCCGTTACTGTGCCACTGTGCGGGTGCAGCGACCCCGGCAGGAGATCATTGAAGACTTATCCTACATGGTGCGTGAGCTGCTCATCCAGTTCTACAAGTCTACCCGCTTCAAGCCTACCCGCATCATCTTCTACCGAGATGGGGTTCCTGAAGGCCAGCTCCCCCAGGTAGGGTCCAAAGTAGGTAGAGAAAACCTTCACACTGGGGCCAGAGGGCCTAATGGGTACAGAGAGTACTGCTCCTTTTTTAAAGCTATTGGCATTGGGAGGTGGCACTTCTTTGAGAGCTTTGCTATAAATGGCGGTAGGCTTAGGAGCAGAGATCTCAACTGAGAGGTGGTGTGCACAGCATCTATAGACCTTTCTTGTAACAGAAGAGCCTCAGTGCATATTTACTAGTTGGTTCATGTTGAAGACTGATTCTTTAGACTAGTAGTTCTCAAAACTTTAGCATGCATCAAGATCACCTGAAGGGCTTGTTACAACAGTTTATAGGGCTCTAAGAAGTTCTGATTCATCTAGTCTAGAATGGTCCCTAGGATTTGTATTTCTTTTTTTTTTTTTCTTTTTTAAGATTTTATTTATTTATTTGAGAGAGAGAGAGACAGAGAGACAGCATGAGTGGGGGGAGGGACAAAGGGAGAGGGAGAAGCAGGCCCCCGCTGAGCAGGGAGCCTGACGTGGGGCTCGATCCCAGGACCCTGGGATCATGACCTGAGCCGAAGGCAGATGCTTAGCTGACTCAGCAGCCCAGGCGCCCCTAGAGTTTGTAGCTGACAAGTTCCTAGGTAGGTGATGGTCCGGAGGCCACACTTTGAGAACTGCTGTTGACCTTCCTTTGGATTGTTCCTCCTATTCTTTGTCCCTGCCAAGCCTTCATATTTCTGTTGTTTAGAGTATATAATGAACTGGTCTCCTTGACTACCATTTAATATTAATATAAGTGTCACTAATTGGGTACCTCTTACGTACTATGAATTGTGGTAAGCACTTCATATATGTTCTATTTAATGCTTTGAATAACCCTATGAAATAATAATTATCACATTTGACAGATGAGGAGGCTTGGAAATGTTAAATGATTTCTTCAGTGTCAACCAAGCTAAGCAGTCATGGAACTGGGATTCAGACAAATTGGTCTGATTTGAGTTTATGGTCAATGTTATCTAAGTCATCCAGTGTTCCCTAAAACAGCAGACAAATTTATCCTATCATTTCTCTGATCAGGAATGTCTAGTGCCTTCACATAGTCTTGGGTTAAAATTCAAACTGCTTATTAACAAAGCAGTCAGCAGTTATTAAGCCCCTACTAGGTTTTCTATGCTTTTACTTAATCTGTTATACTTTTCACAACAGTTTTGTGAGGCTGGTCTTACTAGTAACTTTAGCAGATGTGGAGAAAATGAGACTTAAAAGGGCTAAGTAGCTTGCTTACAGGAATACAACTAGATAAAGCTTGGGTTTAAATCTAGTTCTAGGGGCACCTGGGTGGCTCAGTTGGTTAAGCGTCTGCCTTCAGCTTAGGTCATGATCCCAGGGTGCTGGGATCGAGCCCCACATCGGACTCCCTGCTCAGCAGGGAGTCTGCTTCTCCTTTCTGCCTGCCACTCCCCCTACTTCTGTGCTCTCTCTCTCTGACAAATAAATGAAATCTTTATAAAGAAATAAATAAACTAGTTCTAATTGATTTCCATTCTATGTATTTCTGCCATACAGTTTTGATTCCTTATATCTGACTTCTAAGACCACAAGGCAACCATTGCATATGGTTATTTACTTGTGGGTTCTTCATTAGCTAGTCCATATTCTTATAATCCTACTTCTTTGTAGGACTGAATTCATCTACTCCCACTGTACCAATTCCTGAACTGTGTGTCTGCTCTTCTCTGGTGGTCTCAACACTGTCTGCTTTTGGAGCTCACAGGGGAATTCCTGTTATCCTCCTGATCCTGAGATTGACCTTACTTTGGGCATTGTGATTTTAGTGAAGTCTATGTGCTTTGGTTCTGTGTCTTGATATTAGGTCTCTTTATGCCTAGGAACCAGGTGAGTGCTCTCCTGGCCAAGGTTTTATAGCAACATATGTGAATTGAGTATAAGGCTGATTTTGACGGAAAGGCTATGTCATCTGTAATGGTTGGGTGTCCGTTTATAGAGGGGGACTGAGCAAAAAGCCGTATTACAAACAGCAACCTCTTAGTTGACAAAGATGTGACTCAAGAGGAGCTATTTCTCTTTGTCTCCCTCCTCACCCTTTGCCTAGATCCTCCATTATGAGCTGTTGGCCATTCGTGATGCCTGCATCAAACTGGAAAAGGACTACCAGCCTGGGATCACTTACATTGTGGTGCAGAAACGCCATCATACCCGCCTTTTTTGTGCTGACAAGAATGAGCGAGTGAGTGAGGGATTGAGGAAGCCGCCCTTGTCCTCCTCCTGTCTCCCTTCTCGTAGTATGGAAGAAGCCCTTGAGATTAGTCCTTGGTTTGTCTGTCCTCCCTAACCCCTTCCCCCAGCTCTTGTGTTTCCTCTCCCTCCTCCTAGCTCCCTGGCCTATAGGCCCCCATGTAGACCAGCTCCAGAGAAGGGAGAGGGAACTACTACTTATTGAACTTCCCTTGTATGTCAGACACCGTACAAGGTGTGTTCCTCACAGCACCCCTGTGAGGTAGGTACTATTATTACCTCCAGTTTAACCTCAGAAATCTTAAACGACCTACTAAGGTCACACAGCTAATGAATGGTGAAATCAGCACTTAACCACAGGTTTGTGTGACAGTAGAAGCGCATTATTTCAAGATCTGGTACCCTCTGGGAACAGCAACTTCTGCTTTACTTTTGAGATTCTGGTGGAGTCAGAGTAGAATTGAGTTGGGGCCCTACTTAGGGCCAGGCAGGTCTTGGGATCTTGTTTGTCTTTGTCTCTCTACAGATTGGGAAGAGTGGTAACATCCCAGCTGGGACAACTGTGGACACCAACATAACCCACCCATTTGAGTTCGACTTCTATCTGTGCAGCCATGCAGGCATCCAGGTAGCCGGGCTATGACCAGGGGTTTCCAATGGGTCAAAGATGAGTTGATTATTCCCACTGCCGTTAAAATATATCAGTCGTCACTGAGGGCATTCAGAAAAGGATTTTTCTCTTAATAAGCCCTTAGCATACTTGAACAGAAGTACATTTTGAACATCTTAGGCAGGATTGCCCATAACAAGGGTGTTTTATGACATAGGTGGCTTTGTGTTTGCCTTTTCGTGGGTGGGTCTTCCAACCCAACCACACTCTTTTTTTTTTTTTTAAAGATCTTATTTATTTGAGAGAGAGAGAGTGAAAGAGCACAAGCAGGGGGAGCAGCAGAGGGAGATGGAGAAGCGGGCTCCCTGAAGCAGGACTCGATCCCGGGACCCTGGGATCATGACCTGAACTGAAGGCAGACGCTTAAGTGAGCCACCCAGGCACCCCAAACCACACTTTTTTTTTTTTTTTTAAGATTTTATTTATTTGCCAGAGAGAGCACAAGCAGGGGGAGCAGCAAGCAGAGGGAGAAGCAGACTCCCCCGCTGAGCAGGGAGCCCGATGTGGGACTTGATCCCAGAACCCTGGGATCATGACCTGAGCCGAAGGCAGACGCTTAACCAACTGAGCCACCCAGGCGTCCCTCCAACCACACTCTTAACAGTGATCCTGTTCCTTAGCATTGGCCATCCCTTCTGCCCAGCTTGGGGCCCCCTCATCTTCCTATCTTCCCAGGGCACCAGCCGACCATCCCATTACTATGTCCTTTGGGATGACAACCGTTTCACAGCGGATGAGCTCCAGATCTTGACGTACCAGCTGTGCCACACTTATGTACGATGCACACGCTCCGTCTCTATCCCAGCACCTGCCTACTATGCCCGCCTGGTGGCTTTCCGGGCACGATACCACCTAGTGGACAAGGAGCATGACAGGTGAGACCTGGGATCAAGCTGGCTTCCCTTTTGCTTCAGCTTCTGGTACCAGATCCTCTCAACCTTCCTTGGGCAGAAGGAAATGAATATTGTACAATATGATATCCTTGGGCTCATCTGCCCAAATCTGGGTTGGGACTTTCTCTTAAGTTGGTATGGGAATTGGTACTCTGGATGGGGGAATGAATTAGCAGGAGCTCAGTGCACCAGGAAGGACTTCTTTCATTTTTGCTTTTCAGTGGAGAGGGGAGCCACATATCGGGGCAGAGCAATGGGCGGGACCCCCAGGCCCTGGCCAAAGCCGTGCAGGTTCACCAGGATACTCTGCGCACCATGTACTTCGCTTGAAGGCAGAACGCTGTTACCTCACTGGATAGAAGAAAGCTTTCCAAGCCCCAAGAGCTGTGCCGCCCAAATCCAGAGGAAGCAAGGAGGAGGAGGGAGGGTAGGGAGGAGTTCAGAAGGCCTTGTTTCCTTCTACAAAGGGGGCAAAAGGGTGGGGAACAGGGCCAGTAAGCCAGACCACCAGCCAGAAGTCTCTGATGTCCACCTCATGACCCCCACCCCTCACCCCATCTTGTCACATCTGGCCCTGACCCCACTGGACCAAGGGGCAGCACTGGTGCCCACCATACACACAGGTGTCTCATGTGACTTGCAGTGCTAAAGACTCATGCCTGACAGCTTGGTAAGGTCGGCTCTGCAGCCCCGCGGACAAAAGCTGGTAGGTTTGGGTTTGATAATTTAGATGGGAGAGTGAGGGGCTTGAGAAAGTGGGTGGGAGGAGGGAAGGATTTTTTAGGAGCCTTAATCAGAAAAGGTCTAGATTTGTTTAAGAGGAAAAACGAAACCAGACCCAGATCAATATTTTAGAATACTAGATGTTTTAATGGGTTGAAAATCCAGTTTGTAGAAAGATTTTTAATGCTAATGATTTTGGTTGCTCCTCCCCCAGCTGCCACCCCCCTTTCCCTTATTCCTTTCTCTCCACCTTTTCTACCCCACTTTACACCTCCTCCCTGACAGACATCCAGCCCCTAGTAAGACTTAAGGCACTATGGCACTTAGCTCTGAAGTGACACGACCCTGTCTTCCTTCCGCCTACTGGTGGGTAACCAGTGCCTTCCCTGTAACGGTAATGCTGCAGAACTGCAACCTTTTGTACCTTTCTTTGGGGGGATGGGGTGGGGGTGGGAGAGGAGGTAGGTGGGGAAGAAATACCCCTAACCCAACAAGCCTCCAGCCAGAGCGCCAGCTATTTTGCATTCAGAGGAATTGACTTCCATATTCATTGAGCTTTTAAAAAGATCACAACCTCAAGATGGTTAAAGTCCATTGACATTTGCACTTTCAGACATGATGTCTTGGAGCTGCTGAGATGACTGGCCTCTGGCCTTTCCACTTAACGCCTCCTTTTCTCCCTGTCCCCCCAGCCTCCCCACCTGCCTGGGTCTGGAGTTACTTTCATAGCATTTCTCATTCTTGGCTTCTTTTTTCTCCTGATGGTCGAGTCGCTTATGTTTCAATATTTCTTAACTGGGGTGTCTTATAACAAATGATCTGAAGTCTAAAATAAGAAAAAGGAGCAAAAACTAAATGTTATTTTTATACCATAACTTGAGTCTATTGCCAAAATCTGGAAATCCCTCCCATGCCCAGTAAGTTTACATCCCAGAAACATTGAGCCATCAGAAGGAACTATGTACCGGACTTGTTCTTTGGCCTGGCTAGGTAGAGGGTGGTTATCTCCTCACGGTGGAGCTCGGGCTCCATCCTTCCCCTGTGCAGATACTATCCTTTTCTTGCTATAGGCTCCCTCCTCTGCACTGCCCTGCACTCTTTCCTGCAAGTGCATCTTCCCTTTCTCTGGACTGTCTGACACTTTGGCTCATCCCAGATTCCAGTGTGTCCTGTGGACAGGCTGGGGGATTTTGCTGCTCCCTATTGCTTCTGTTTACACAAATGAATTTTTCCCAGTTTCCCACTAGGGCATGTGAGTGGGTGGCATGGGCCTTTGTTTTGTTTTTTTTTTTTTTTGTCTCCCTAGATAAAGATGGGGTTTGGCTGTCTTGCAGAACTGGAAAAGTAGGGGGTTTCTAGCTTGGTGCCTGCTGGCCTTGAGGCAAGGCCCCCTCTTTCCTTAACTTCATTTTTTTCCTCTCCCACTGCTTGGGATGAGGAGTTGCGGCTTCAGTGTGGATATTCCTCTTTTTGAGGAGCCTGGGCTTGGGTTTGCCCCAGTCTGGTGATGAAGCCATGACACTTTAGACCTAGCTCAGGCTTGGAGGCCGGTCTGAATCCTGGCCTGTGTGCTTAGAGCTACCATTTCCCCTCCCCAGCAGCCCTTATACAGACCCAGATTTGCTATGCAAAACAGTCTATCCCAGGTTCTGTTCTGGTTGGCTACTTTGTTCAGCGACTTCACATAACGTAGCACAAACATTGATTATGGAGAAGGCATCAGGACTGTTGAGTAACTCCTCCTCTACTTCTTTCCTACTGGCTATAGCATGGGATGCCCCATGGGTACAGCCCAGCTGAAGAACGGAATGGAGGGCTCTGGGAGGAGGCAGCTCACTGGAGAGCCTACATTCCTTACACAAGTGCCTAAAGAGAGTGATGCCAACACTCCATCTGCCCTGTCCATCGCCTTCATATACTGTCTACTTCGTGTTCAGTCACCCTTTGGGGAGGGGAGCTCTCTTGGGACAATGGGCTCTGCATGTTCTCTTCTTGGGTGCATTTAGGGGCTGGGATCAGGGCACTGTTCCTGGAGGGTCCAGTCATTCACCAGCATTTGCAAATATCCATAGGGAGCTGGTGGTAGCCACCTACTCTCAGCAACAAGTTTATGTTCTCTCCTTTTTCTCTCTTTGCCTCACTGTCTCCATTTGGGTTTTGAGCTGGGGCCTGAAATGCATTTTTTAGCTCTTTGGCATTGCACATGCCATTCAAGAAATAAAAAGCAAGAGAAGCGGTTTGGGCAATGGCAAGAAAATGACTTCTTGCTCTGATTTTTTTTTTTTTTTTTTTTAATCTTTGAGACTTGAAAAATATCCTTGACCTTGAGGATTATTCTTTGAAAGATGGTGCATGCAGATTGAGAAGCGGTATTAGCAACAAGCTTTGGCTTTCTTGGATTTGATTTAAGTGGTGCTTCTTACTTGTGCTCTGAGGAAGTGTTGGGGGGACCCCAGCCTCATCCTCTTGGACAGGTCTCTTGCTCCCTTCATTCTACTCTCTTGCCTCTCTTTTCTACTTCTCTCTTTCCCTGGCTCCTTTTCCTTTTTTCTTTCACTAAGCTTGTTTGCTGGCCTGCCTGCCTATGTGATGATGAATTCTCTGCATGGCTTTGATAATCCCGCTGTTAGCTAGCAAGGTCAGGCTTAGCTCCTTGGCTGCAGAAGACCAAGACTCAGTTCCCCAAGCCTGGTGATGTTCTCTCTGGGCTGGACTGCCATCAGCGTTACACAAGGACAGAGCAGCAGGGCTGCCTACCTTGCATGAAATCAGGAGGGCTTCTGACAACTTCCACAACTGTTCACTCCTTGGAGTTGGTTTTTCTCATTGCTTTTTCTAGATCTGGTTCCATTTCTCTACCTGCCTCCCTTTTCTCAGGCTGTTCTAGGGTTGAGCTACTTGGTTTCCAGGGTTGGAGGGTTAGGGGATGGACTTGGGGAAAGAAGAGAATGATGGGAAGAGAATGGAGAGAATTTGGATAAAAGATGGGAAAGAGCACTGTTCATGGATCATTTTTCCAGTCCAGTCTGACCCACTGGGGGTTGAGGTGCTACTGTTGAACTCGAGATAAGCCTGGGGCTATTGCTGATGGGAACTTAGGTTTAGAATAATGTTGACAAGGAAGATACCTAAAAGCATGAAACCTCCCTTAAAAGCTCCTGGTTCCCACCTACTAGATAGCTCCACTGCAGCCTCCTCTTCTGCTAAGCAACAATGTTCTTGGATGGTTGTTTTTTTGTTTTGTTTTGGGGGGGGTCCCAGAATTCAATAAATGAGGCTAGCACTCAGGATGGGCAGCCAAGGGGACATTTTGAATTCTTAGCTGGCCCATGGGGTATCTATCTGCAAGGCTGGTGGGCAGTGTTTTAGACCTGGCATCATGTTTAACAAAGAAGAATGGAAGTTCCTTCCCCTTCAGGGTGGAAAGTTATCTCAAACTAGCCAAAATGCAGTTTTGGAAACTACATTGGGCGAAGTTATTTTTTATATTTACTGGGCCTAGGCCAATCCAGGATGGTAGCTGGGATGCCTTCCTTCTTAAAGTCTGATCATGGCAGGGATATGCAGGGCACTCTTTCCTATTTAGCCTTCTAAGCAGATTGGGGAGAAGGGATTCTCTGGTTTTCTCTCTTCCCCCCTTTTATTAGGACTTGCCTTCTCCCTAGGCAGGGAGAGAGGCTAGGTTGGTGCTCTCCCCTTACTCTATTCCTACTGACTTAGAACCTCTGGCTGCTGTTTGGGAGCCTAAGAATGGGAGTGGAGGGAATGGGCTCAAAACAAAACAGAATAAGGTGGGGAAGGCAGATTTCCTTCTTTAAAAAGGAAAATAGGAAACCCTCCAAGGATTGTGCAAGTAAAGACAATGTGTCAAATGCACTGAGTCCCCTGGTGTAGTAGCAATAAGGAAAAATGAAATGACTTTCCTGTGCACACAGTCCAACCTGATTGGTGTGTGATGTTGCACTTAGCAGCCATCTGGTGGGCATGTGTGACTACTCTGGGTTTCACTTTAGTTTCTAAACTTTTTATCCCTCTCAAGTCCAGCATGGATGGGGAAATGTCCCTGGAGCCCCACAGCTGTGTACTTGTTTGCATTTGTTTCCCTTTGAGACTTGTGTTTGTGTCCTGCTTTGAGCTGTACCTTGTCCAGTCCATTGTAAAATTATCCCAGCAGCTGTAATGTACAGTTCCTTCTAAAGCAAGCAACAGCAGCAGCACAATTCTGTGTTTTATAAAGACAACAGTGGCTTCTATTTCTAAAGTGCGGTCTCTCTCTCTCTTTTCCCCCACTCCCATTAACAAAGAAAACTGTTGGGATTAATTATATCTCTGATATATTTTAGGTTAGAGTATTAGATTGTTATAACAGCAGAACTCTCACCTCTATAGGAAAGAAAACACCAGAGTGTTGAAACTGCAGATTATATGTAACCATACTTCACAAGGCCTACATCTATTCTTCATTCAACAAACCATACAAAGCACTGTGTCCAGCAGTATTGTTGGGGGAGAAAGGAAGCACAATTCAGAAAGGAGGAAAACTGTGTCTCTTTCCTTAAGGAGCTTAAAGTTTGGTGGGGGTATGAGTGGCCAAATGGTTCCCTAGCCAAATGATGAGGGACTGAAACAAGGCTATAAAGCTATAGCAGTGAAGATAGGAAAGGAAGATTTTTGAGAGACACTCAGAAGATAGTGATGAGGGAAGGGAGAGAGAGGAGTAGAGGCTAATAATGCTCAGGCTTCTACTTGAGCCATGAGTATATTGGGACATTCTTCTAACCAAGACTGGGGGAGAAGGGAGACGATAGAAGAAAGGTGGTGAATTTTGTGAAGATAGCCTTGTATAGACTGAGTGTGGAGGTTCCCATGAGGCAACAAGTTTAAGGTTTCCAGTAAACACTTATATTTTGGTGCTCAGGGAAGACTACAAAACTACAATTGTAGATAATGGGATTCATACTCCTATAGATGGTAGGTAAAGCCGTAGGAATGAACAAGATGGCTTAGAAAAAGAGTAGAGCAAGAAAACATAGGGTCCAACTCCAGGAAACAATTTAAAGGATGAGAGGAAGCTGAACCTAAGGAGACTGTTAAATCACTAGTAGATACCTTGTATATTTTTTACTTAATGAAGTGGGAGAAAAGTCAGGAGAATGAAATAGGATCCAAGAAGGGTGTAATTAACATGAACTGCTGCCTTGAGGAGGTATTTTTTTCTACTCAGTTTACCATCCTCCACCCCATCTTCTTTGGCATCTTGTAACTATATGGTCATTCTCCAGTATTTCTTGAAAATGAGCAAACCCAATTTAAATAAGGCTAAGACTAGGATTTCCAAGTTGTTCACCACAACCACCACCTCCACCTCCAGCTTCCTCCTGTCCTCAGGAGACACTTGTAAAAGAATAAAATAAACAAACTTAATTTTGTTCCTAACCAGTGTCCTAGATGGTGTTCCAGTGCACTCGATAGCACTTAGCAGCTGGATTTATTTATTTTCATGACTTATTTTCCCCAGAGCCTGTGAACTCCTAGGAGCAGAAACTACATTCTGTTCATTTTTTGTCATCTCAGGGCTGTAGCTTATATCAGGGGATCAATATTTGTGAATAGACTTGAAATTATCTAGAAATTGTGGTTTATGAATACAGAGGGGGAGTCAAGAAGTGATACTGAGTGCACAGGATGGATTCAGCATTCCTGACTCTTCAGGTAAGTAGAAACTTAACCAGATTACCATCATCTTTTCTTACTCTCACCGCAACTTGGAGGTTCTGTGGTTTTGTACCTTAAGCTGATGGTACAGTTGTCAAGCATGCAAGTTCTGGCATTCCTCCCTGGTATTGCTAGAGCCCTGTTATTTCTGTGTACTGGGGGAAGATGGCTCAGAGATGGATTCTGGCACAGGGCCCAGTAAGAAATTTTCAGTGGCAGCTAGTGTGTACATAAATGGGCCTAGCATTCCTCTGGAGGCCCAGTGTTGTGACTTTCAAATTGCAAAGCTAACCTGTATCTACCACCTGTCAGATTCCCTTGGAAGCAAGCCAGCTGTACCCAGCTCCTTTTCAGCAGCAATGGTTAGGTTGATCGAACTTGAGCAAATTGGAACATGGAGGAAATTTTTCCCAGTTGAAATAAAACTTAAATAAATCTATAACCCTTAATGAAGCAGAAATAAAGTATTTAGCAGAGTAAGTGGAAGGATGATCATTATGACACATTTTGCCATAAATTTCAGTTTTGAAATGATTGATATTCAGAAGGTTTCAGAATTTGGCTGTTGGTTACTACTCAAGAGGAAAAGATAATGGGCTCCCACTATCCTGATTTGTCTGGTCCTGGAGCTTAAGGTTTTGAGTCAAGGCTTGTCCTAACACCCCTGGCCATTCCTCTTTAGTATTGGTTGAGCAGCCTTTCCTTTGCCCTGTCAATTGACAACATATACTATAGCACATTCTTGTCTAGGAAGTGCCTTGGAGCAAAGTGAGGCTGGGTATTTTTTGGTATCTTTTGGCTTAGCAAACCCCAGAATCTCATGGCAATTAGGGTTTGGTGGCTAAATGAAAGGGTTATAGTGCAAAGAGAAGACTATTTCAAGTTCTGAGCCTGGGCCATCCCTAGACTGCCATCCGTACTGCTTGAATGGAAAATAGCATTGAATTGTAGCAAATAGCTCTCCCTGTTTGTTTCTAGCTTTCAAGCCAATTTATTCCTCTGGCTACAGGCTGAGGAAACCTGGCAAGCTTAGAAGTTACAGAGCATGACAGAAGCAATCCTTTAAACTGGAAAAGTGGACTTTCTGGGGATGAGGTACATTTAAAAGTTCTCCACTTAAGCACCACAACCTCCTTCCCCAGGATATCCTATCAAGGTTTTTAGACCACCGTGGTTTACCTTGCAGTAGTACACTGTCCCTTTGTTCTAGACTGCAGGAGCTTCAGCACTATCCTCTTGGCAAAGTCTTTTTTGGACAAAAGTCGTGAGGGATCTTTCTAGGGAGCTCTCCATTCCTCTTCCCCACCTTCTGAAGGCAAGGAACTTTCTCTTAAAAGAGACAGTGGGAGTTCCTAGCCATGTTTTTGGAAAAGGCCAATGGCTTGTTAAGGGAAGTGATCTGAAAATGAGGAGCAGCTTTGGATACTTTGAAGTATATGAGTAGGTGTTTTGTACAGTCTCTGTTATTTAATTGCATCTTCACAGCATTCATGTGAAGTAGTTTATCTGTTCCTTTCAATTGCACATAACAAACCACCAATTAACTTGGCTTAAATAAGAAACCTGTAACATGACAAAGAAGTCTTGATTTAGTATGGCTCCAAGGTTGGTTAATTCAGTGGCTCAGTGAGAATACCAACAAAGCAGGTTCTTGCGGTGACTTTCCTCTGCTATTCTTTGTTGGTTTATCCTCATGCTAGTTCGCCTCAGGGTCCCAAGGTGGCTACTGTAATTCCAGGAAGGAAATGCTGACAGAATAATGTGTAACAGAAAAGGGACTAATTTTTCCTTACATTTCATTTTAAAGTAAGGAAATCCTTGGAAGCTCCAGCAGATCGGGCCTCCTATCTTATTCACTAGAAATGGGTCATCTTCTCACTCCTGTCATTGGCAGAGCAAATGAGATCATTCATCATGAGTGGCTTAGATTAATTAGGAGTTACCCTCTGAGCAGTTATCCTGCTTCATCAGTCTGTGGATTAGAAAGACAAGTCTGGTCTGCTAGGCAAGAAAGAAGGGGATAAGGGCTCCTGGGTAGGTATCCAGCAGTGTCTTCTCTACTTGGGTACTCTGGCTTTTAGAGATGAGGAATGTTAGGTTCAGAGTGACTTTTTGGAATCACATACATTAGCAGAGAGCCTTCAGTCTCAGCTCTGTCCCTAAGGCCAGTATGTTGTTCTCCTGCAGTATAAAATAACTTGCTGCTTTGTAAAAACTGATGGTCTGGGAGAAGAGATTTGAATTCGAGTCAAATTGAGCAACTTCACCCCACCTGTAAGAGAGGATTCTATCCAGTTGCTCTCATCATCCAGTGGTGATGTTTATCTAACACAGGAAGCCTAGGAATGCAGCTTTCAGAGGGCACTGGTTTCCTTGTCCCTCAGATGTCTGTACTATTTTATAGTTCTCCCTTCTGAAAGCAACCAGTGCCAGAAGGGATGAGGGCAGAGTTTTAGCCTGCTTCCTGAGCCCCGTTCTTGAAGCCCACTCATTCATCCATCCATCCCACAAATCATGGAATGTTGCTATGTGCCAGGCACTGGCACTGTTCTAGGCATTGGGGGTATGGCACTTAAGATACACAAAGATCCTGCTCTATGGCCTTAAGAGCCAACTTGTTTGGGAATGAGGTTATCCAAAAATAGGGTGTGCATGTGGTTGGGGGAGAGCCTCATACAATTTGCTTTTGGCAGAATCATTAGACCTTTTGCCTTCCTACTTCTTGATATTACAATTAATGTACTTTTCACATAGGCTCACTCTAATGAGGTGGTGGGGTCCCTGAATAGCAGAAGTAGATGGGATACTAAATCAAACTGAATTAGGAGGTCCAAATCCTGCTTAATCAAGATCAACAAAGACAGTGGCCTACCTCAAGGGTTCATCACCCATCACCATGTCTATTCTGGGAGAGGATAAGCCTGTAATCACTTAGGGAATCAGTTACCAGAATGGGAGGTTGAGGGTGTGATAGACCCTTGCACAAGAGTTGGTATTTACCCTGTGGGGATGATGCTACTGACTTGCATTCTGTATACTCAGGTATTGAAAATAACTTTTAGGATACAGTGTTTCATCTGGTGACATTTAATTTGATACTTTGAAATTATGTAAAAGGGTTAAGGGTGGGAAGTAGGCCGAACTGAAGTCAGATGAGGGTTTGAATCCCATCCATTTGTGAAATGTTCACTGTAAGGTAGGTGCATCTAATAAGTGCTTTAAAATGTTAATGATAGTAAACTTTATTCACTAACATTTAGTCAGGGAGGGTTCTGGTTTACGTACATTCCCTAACCTCACAATTGCGTAAGGTAGGTTAGTCTCTCCATTTCTCAGTTACGAGGCTGAAGCGACTGATCCAAAGTCCCACAGTGATTGGGAGGAACTGAAGATAGGATATTTTTCCCTATATCCCACACTTTAAAAAACAAAATACTTTGATTTTTTTAAAAGTCTAAATGACATTATTGATGTTTAGGGACATAGGTAAAAATCATGAATCTTCAGTCAATAAGGCAACATATTAAGGACCTACTATTTCCTAGTGAGTGTGCTGGCCACGGTAAGCTTATAAAGCTTACAAGCTAGTCCAGGAGGGGGAACACAAACTAGTAAGTAAAACAAATTACAGATTGGGAGGATTATTAGGGAAATGCTGTAATAGAAAAACGGGCCTCCACGGTAGATCAGTGGTCCCGGAAAAGACCTCTCTGAAATAAGTCAGGTTGAGAGATAAAAAGCGGCGGGCAGGGGAGGGAAGAAGAGAACGTGAGAGTGGAGGGAAAGGAGAGGCTCTGTTCCTGGCCAAGAGAACCAAAAGCAGAGGGGCGCCGAGTCGTAAAGGGATGCGTTTTGCCTGTAGTGGGAATCAGAAGCAGACCAGTATAGCTGTAGCATAGTGGTGAGGGCAAGTCTTGCTTGAGGAGAAAGGAAGTGTCCGTTTACTCGGTGCGTTTTAGCCCTGGAAAAGAGTTTGATCTCAGTGTGACAAGACGCTATTAAAGCGTTTTAAACGAGGAAGTTATCCGATGTGATGTTTGTGTAATGTCTTGTTTCTTAATACTCTTTTCCCAAGCTAAATTGTACATACCCCCGCCTCCCTCCCTCCACGGTCGTCAAAGCAACAGACTTGGAGTGATCAATTGTGGTGGTCACTTGACCGCTTACTGAGGAGGAGGCGCGAGGTGCCGCCCAAGCTGGGCGGGGCGGGAGGGCTCCGTAAGGAGGGCGGCTCCGCCCTAGGCGTGCTCGGGCCCGGTCACTCCGCTGCAGGTCGGGGGTCCTGCACCACAGACCGGCCACGCTCCAGGTAGGCTCCTCCCCAGGTAAGCTACACCACCCTCTGCGACGTCGCCTCCGGCAGGCACCGCCCCACGCTGGGGTGGTGCTAAGAGTCCAGCTCCTCCGAGTTGTCTCCGGCAGGCACGGCCCTGCAGAAGACCGTGGTAGGGCTCGCCCGCCGCGCGTGCCCCAAGCTCCGCCCAGGCTCGGCCCCCGCTCCCCGACACCTCCCCCGCGTCCTCCGCGCCGGCCGCGCCCGCACCGACGTCGCGCCTGCACGGCTTGGGGCGGAGAGGCGAGGCTTGGACGTCGGGCGAGCCCGGGCGGCGGAACTGACGCCAGCGGGTTTCCGGGGGCGGCCCCCGGGGAGGTCGGCGGCGGCGCCGCAGTCGTGGAGGGGCGGTGGGAGCGTAAGCGGCCGCGGGCGACGCAAGTTCCGCACGGGGCTCTCCTTTCCTCGTCTCACGCTTCTCCTTCCTCTCGCATAGTCGCGTGCTGCCTCCCCACGGCGGCTCTTCCCGGCAAGAGCTTTCGGAGTGCGGTTGCTGAGGAGAAGCATCGCCAGCTCGTCTTGGGGCCGAGTGAGGGTGCCTGTCGCACCGCGTCGCCCCCTGCGCTGCCTCCTTGCCCCCAGTGGTGGGCGCCCTTCTCGTTCGAAGCACTCCCCCCAGCTCCATGAATGGAAATCGGCTCCGCAGGTGAGCAAGTCCGAGCGGCTAGCCCAGTGGGCGGGGGTTATCCCCAGAGCATCGTCGCTCCCTCCCAACCCAGGTGCGCGAGGTGAGCGCGGTCCGGGCGGCTTCTCCTCCCGCCCCCCGCCCCCCGCCCGGCCCCTCCTCCGCCTCAGCGCAGACCCGCCGCAGTTCCCCGGGGCCACTGAGTAGGCGAAACTGTGGGGAGGGGACACTGCTTAAAGGATTGAAGTTTGGGGTTCTCCAGGCGATATTACTCTTTTTTTTTTTCTTTCTCGAGTCTAGAAGGGTTTGTCGTCGCTTTTGTTGTTCCGATTGAAGGTGTAACGGTGTGCGCTTCCTTTAACCGGGTTGTGTATCCCAAGGAGGCACTGGGCGGTCGGCTCTCTCTCATCTCTTAGGGTAGTTGTGAAGCTACATGGAGATAACGGTGGGAATTAAGTTTGAAATAGGTGTAAGCACAACGTCGAATGCAAGATGGCATTTCGTCCATCCCCGAGTTCTCTTCTGATGTTTGTGGCAGCATGGTATGTAGTTCCCGAGGATTTCGGAAATGTCATATTGGCCCGGATTACTGCTTACGTGAGGAGGTGGATCTTAAAATTGCTGACAGTATTTTTTTTCATTCCCTATTCCCTAGAGAAGCGGTTATTATATTCCTGGAAATTTGGAATTTAAAAAAACTGCCTTCTCTCCTTCGGAAAACGGCAGTCTTAAGAAAAACTGCAACATGGGCAGTACTTACCTTGAAAAAGAAAAAACACTCTTTATGATTCTGAAGTAATTAATTGAGAGATATAAAGTAGGTGTTACATAATGGTTTGCTCTCCAAAAGATCATACTTAATATGTTAAATTTCTTAGTATGTTTTGTCCAGACAGTAACACATTTATAAGTTAATTTTCAAAACATTGAGGTGGGGGGTGTCTTGTTACTGATGGGATCACAAGTTCCTGAATTTCACGTCTCGTTTTGCCAGTTTGGGAGGTACTTGAATATAAGAAAAACTTAAATAATAAAAGAAACCAGTGACCTAATGATAATAAAGGATCTGTTGGTTAGGTTAAGGTGTATAATTGTCAATAGAAGCAAACAGCACGAATTTGTAGAGATGGGATGGGGAGACGGGATTCCTGCAAGTTTTATTACATGAAATTTTCTCTAATCCTTTTCTCCCATTTCTCTTTTGCATGCTTCATTTTTTGTCATCATATTTTCTTAAAAAGGGATTCTTTGTCTATAGATTGTGAAGAGTTTTATACTTTCATTTGTTTATCATTGATTTGTATATTTCTGAAACTGTGCCCTGGCTTTGTTTTTTAATTTTGTATCATACTGTTTAGTGAATATAATGATCTAGGGCTATAGGTGACTTTTACATAATTGTCCTCTTGTCAAGCCTGGAAAACAAAACATGAACGTTAAATACTTTATTAATCACCCTGAGTTTTAAAGATAGTTTTTGTTTTTGTTTTTTAGTTTTTATCTCTTTGGGGTTTTTCTTATGAAATTATGCCCCAATGTATGGACAACGTCTTAGAAAATATTTCTGAAGTCCAGTCACCTAGCCAACTGGTCCAACTAGCCACGTATGATTCAGTAAATGCTCCTGTGAATTCTTGAGCTATAGATAAGTTTTACATCTTTTTGCATATGCCACTGCTGAAATATATACCCGTTTAACTATCTTCACATCTGAGGAGGTAGAATTAGATAATATCAACCATATGCTTGGCCATCTTGAAACTCAAAGTTTGCTCTTCAGTGCAGTTTATACATGATTAACTGTAGTCTAATAATGAAGATAAAGTATAATATGATTCAGAATTGTCATCATCAAAAACAAAATTTTCATTCTTCCTGAGACTTATGTAATTGTTATGCTGCATTGTGGAATTGAAAGCATAGTTGGGCAAAACATGCAACTGAGTTTTAAATCAAGAATTTGACAGGTACCAGGGTGCCTGCCTGGCTTAGTTGGTGAGGCATGAGACTCTTGGTCTCAGGGTTGTGAGTTCGAGCCACACATTGGATGTAGAGATTACTTAAAAATAAAACTAAAAAAAATTGACAGGTACGTATTTTGGTTTAAAATATTTCAGACATTGGCGTGCCTTGTTGGCTCAGTTGGTAGAGCACGTGACACTTGATCTCATTTGTGAGTTTGAGCCCCACCTTGGGTGTAGAGATTACTTAAAAACACTTTTTTAGACATAAATGGTCTCTGGTAGTTTGTTGAGTAAATGTTGGATCTTTGCTCCAATTTTGTTCTAAGGGTTTTTTGTATGTGTGTGGAGATTCTTAGGTATTACCTTATGACAGGATGTTTTAAATTCTAGTTGTTGAGAAGATAACATAGAAAACTTAAATTACATTGGAGGACTTGGACTTAGGATACAAATTCTATATAAGTGTTTCTTGGTGAATCATTCTTCACTAAAAGTTAGTATTTGTCCTCCTTTTTTGCATGTAATATTTTATTTTTTAGGGTGTCCTGTACATTGTACTGATTTAGAACTTTGTGAACTTTGATTTAACCAGAGAAGCTGGCACAGTTGGTTTTTAAATATAACAGTAGTTTTGTTTCTGTGCCTATGACTCCTTGGTTAGAGGAACTTCTGATGAAACCCTGTTTTTTAGAGTTTAGTTACATTTGGACTAAAAGTATATGTTTTAATTAAGTGTCAATAGAAGCAGCAGAAATGTTCATTGAGATATCGGTTCTCCTGAGTAGCAGTGTTTTAGAACCTTACTACTCTAGTCTGTATGTTTAGGTGACGTCAGACTGTTGTTTAGGGCAGAAGGAATTGTACTCACCTACCAATGGAAGAAAAACGTTTACTGTTACTTTAAATTAATGATATGCAAAGTGATTTGATATGTTTGGTAATTGTCTTATACAGTGTTGCAGCAGTGAATAGACCATGTTTCTTAGTGATACTTTTAAGTTCATGTTTGGATCTGCAAAGTGGTTTTAAGGCTCTGCATTTCTTTACTAATAAAAATCTAGGGTCGCCTGGGTAGCTCAGTCCATTGTCTAAGTCTTTCCCAGCTCAGTCTTGGTCTCAGGGTCATGAGTTCAAGCCCCACGTTGGGCTCCACACGTGGAGCCTACTTGAAAATAATAATAAAATAATCTAGCAAAATCTTTTGAGAACAAGTTCCAAAGGAAGAGAATTTGCATGTATGGAAACTAAGTTTGAATGAGATGAATAAAAGTTGTGGATTCGAAATACTAAAATATATAATGCCATTAGGTTCTCAGTTTAATATTTAAAATAATCTTTTTTAGTCACTGTGGGATATGTTTTCTCACTTGTAGATTTTTGTCTTGAAGAAAAATTGTCAAAATGCTGCTCTGTCTGGAGGGCATGAATTTTGAACGTGCAAAAGGTTTTTCTACTTGGTTGCCACTTAAATTTTAGTTTGTGCTGTTCTTGAGTGGCCACCATAACTTTTTCCTACTATTTGCTGCTCTTGACTGGCATTGGGACTTAACAAAAATATGCAAGATTATTTTGATTTTTGTTTTAGAATTGAATTTCTCTTACAGTGATGGATTTTTTTTCCCCTGAGGGAAAATTGAAAAGGAGGCAAGAAACAACTTTGTTCTTCTAAACAAAGACTTAAAGGAGAAAAAGAACATATAAGTAACCCTCAAATGTAATTTGCTTAACCTGATGAAAACTTTTAAACATTATCCATTATTCCATCACCCTGATCACTCTTTAAATTTCTAAGCCAGATTTCAAACTAGTAAATCTCTATTCAAAAGAAGAAAAAAAATTAAGGAGTTAAGTAATTTAGGAAAGCTGCTAGAATGAATGAAATCATTTCAAGATGCTACTCCCTTTTGCTCTTTTGGAAAATTTTATGTACCAAGTTGTGGATTTAAATTTAGTTTATATTCAATAATGTTTTCCAGTGGGGACATTGTGTTCGTTTGGTTCTATAAGCCTGGCCTGATAGCATGCAAAGAGGCCTGGGGCCCTGTAAAGGGGACATTTCCTGGAAGAGGTCTCTGTTGTATATGGAAAAACCCTAGTTCAGAATAGAATTCTTGCTAAACTGTCATAAACTATTGTATTCTAGTTGAAGACTGTGTTTCTTAATATTATAGCCATCTTTTTTCACATAGGTTCTTATAGTCTTAAAATATTTGAGGATCTACCTGAAAGATGAAGTAATTATTTTGTCAATTTAACAAAACATTTTCTCTAATAATACTTAAAACTAAGATCTAAAGTAATTTATAAGTTTTTTGTTTTTTGTGGTTTTTTTGATAGATGGGAGAATAAGGCAAGTGATAGTTCATTTTTTGGGAAGGTAAAACTAAAAATATAATTTATTTAAGAATAGTATCCTTTCTAAACCTATGTAGTCTCAGTTTGTTGGGATAAACAGCATTCACCAGACATTCCTACTTCTAATTCAGTTGTCTAGGATACCCAATAGACCCCCATCCTTGGCTCATTAACAAAACAGATGTGAGAAAGAATATTGTGTGGTTTTTCAACCATAATGGTTATGCTGTTAGGATACATGAACAGCCTTTCTGTATTTGGAGTTTCTGTAGTTTTCTGCCATTATCTGTGTTAATATTAATAACTTTCTTTGGCTATCCATTGCTTTAAAAAAAAAGTCTGTTGAGATTTAGCAAAACCATGTCACACAACTGATGTTTTCTCTTAATTTGAGCTTATTGTCATTTGATTACAATAAAAAATTATTTACATTATTCTGAAATAATAGTGAAATAATTTGGAAGAATTCTTTTTTTGAATCAGCCAGTTTTTTCCTACATTGGTTCTAAGTTGTCAGGTTCTTGAAAAGTCAGAAGGTATCCACAATATAAACATGGGATATTTTTATGTTTTTCATTTGTGGAAGAAATTTTTCAAGAAAATGTTCTCAATTGTAGGCTGATATAATACTATTTTTGAGTCATTACCAATACTTGATATTTTAACTGATTTCTAAATCATCTAACAAAAGAAGTTCATTAG